ATTTAAAGAGAAATACTTCACATCACGTATGATTTTGAAGATGATACTTACAGCTTGGATTGAAAATAAACATTTTCCATTCATATCGAAACTTTGTGAAAGTCCAAACACATACATATACATATACGTCTAAATATGTGACAACTTTAAGTCAGACGTTCTCCATCGGTTAACCTGTGTTTATACAGGGCTAACACTAAAATTTATATTTACTTTGTCTCAAATTTAGCCCAGCAATGTTAGATCTGCAAATTTATGTAAGCAACTTTTTGTTCTCCCTCAGCGAGATTAGAACCCTTGCATCTTAGACATTGGACAACAGCGTCTGAAATGTGTCCAGCACCCTAGACCACTCGAACAACGAGTCTATATAAGATATTGCTTTCATTAGTCGGGCCTTCATGGTCGGCTTTATCTAGGGTTGTAACACAGTAGTGGCAAGTTAATGGTATAACTGTTTTGTCCGTCGTACAGGGTGACAATTTTACTTTAAGTATATTTGGACAAAATGACATGCCGTCACATCAACATTTTTAATTTTATTATAGATCTAAATATGCAACAACTTTAAGACAAACGTTCCCCATCGGATATAATAGAACCTGTGGTTATACAGATCTCGAGCCATTTGCAGATCTGACATTGTTGAGATAAATTTGAGACGAATTATAAAGAGCCTAGAAAATCAGCCTCACAGTGATAAGAGTTCATCTGATTCGTAACTTTCTCCTCAAACGGGGCTGGAACTTGTACTTTTACTTTTCACTTTTACGTTAACACCGCCAAGCATATATCATAGTACACGTGCATGGTAATTAAGGGATTAGTTACATGTATAATGATTGATGAAAGTTTCATTTCAATTTTCCCCTGGGCTTTGCATTTTACCATATGCATAGGTAGAAAACGATCATTAGAGTTCCTTTTATATAATGAATTCTAGAAGTTCTGTTGAACAATTGAATATACAAAATATAAATGCAAACCGCCTTTGAATATAAAAGAAAAAGAACTAGCAGAACTTGTGTAATGAATATTATTTATATTTTCAGTAATATCACAATCATTGGTAATTTGGTTACAAGGAACTTCGGTAAAGGACCTTCACAATGAGCAAAATCCATATTGTAATCAGATATCCATCTCTTTTAACTGATATATGAACTAAGTCACCGTTTTGAATGAAAAAAAACCTTCTTTAAGGATGTTTGCTCCACTTTTTTTTAATATTTGTTATATATTCGGAATCCTTTGTTTGATCTATGTAGTGCCATTAAAAATTTTGGCTGCTAACCCTACTTCTCTTTTCATTATTTTATTGTCATATAGTTTTAAAAGCCATATTTGACAATCTTATAAAATCCATGTTATTTTTTCATTGTTATGAAAGAAAAAGGTGCCAATGTTAAATGTAAGAAAAATCTAGAAATAATCTTTTGTTTTTCAATGTCATGATCTGGTAAACTTCGACAACACACCCATAGTTAATTAGCTATGATCAACAATCAACGATTGCAATATTATGTGGCGATAATACGTTATAAATAGATTCGTAATAAATGTAAATCACGTGCATAGAGGACTTAGTTTAGTATATATGCATGCATTGGTTCAATAATTTCGATAACATTATAATTACAAGTAACTTGTTTTAAATGACTTTACAACATACTTGGTACCCAGGTCAATCACTTTGAAAATGGAACAAGAGTGCACACCCTGAAATGTCTCGCTTGCTTTACTACTTTGTAAAGAATCACTCTGATTCAAACAAAAAATTCTCTGAAACTAACATTATCAAGATACTTGATTTCTTGATTGACAACATATTTGTTACGTTTTGAGGACGTGTTTTTCAACAGACTGTCGGAATTCCAATGGGAACCAATTGTGCCCCTCTTCTTGCCGACTTGTTTCTTTATTATTATGAGGCTGGCTTCATACAGGAACTTCTTAGGAAGAAAGATAAGAAGTTAGCAATATCCTTTAACTTAACGTTCCGCTATATAGATGATGTTCTCTCACTAAATAATACAAAATTTGGTGACTATGTTGAACGAATCTATCCCATCGAGCTAGAGATAAAGGATACTACAGATACAGTTAAGTCTGCCTCATATCTTGACTTACATCTAGAAATTGACAATGAGGGTCAGTTGAAAACAAAACTTTACGACAAAAGAGATGATTTCGGCTTCCCAATTGTGAACTTTTCATTTCTATGCAGCAACATTCCAGCAGCGCCTGCATACGCAGTATATATCTCCCAATTGATCCGATATTCCCGGGCTTGTATTTCCTATCATGATTTCCTTGATAGAGGATTGCTGCTCACAAGGAAGCTATTAAACCAAGAGTTCCAAATGGTGAAGTTGAAATCATCCCTTCGTAAATTATAATGACGCCATCACGAGTTGGTTGACCGTTAAGGAATAACCGTTTAACAGATGATATCGGATATGTACCTTATGTCGACACTACAATACCCTTCCTTTTTCACGAATGTGACCTACCGAATTAGACAATTTACCGGATTTGTAATAACATAAGCAACACGACGGGTGTCACATGTGGAACAGGATCTGCTTACCCTTCCGGAGCACCTGAGATCACCCCCAGTTTTTGGTGGGGTTCGTGTTGCTTGGTCACGTGGAGAATCTCTTAGTTTGGCCAGATAAAATCTATGTAGTGTCATCTGTACTATTATTTGTCTGTTTGTCTTTTTTATTTTTGGCCATGGCGTTGTCAGTTTGTTTTCGATCTATGAGTTTGACTGTCCCTCTGGTATCTTTCGTCCCTCTTTTACTAACCATTGATTTTATGTTGAAAGTCTTAAAGATAAAGATTTTACAAGTATCACTTAAACTTAACATTTTTAAAGATCCATTACAATGAAGTCAAGGTCAGATAAATTCTGCCAGACAAGACATGTTCACCTTACAATTATTCCATACATCAAATATAGTTGACCTGTTTCTTATGGTAATTGAAAAACATACCAAAACAAAAATAGATATGGACAATGCCCCCCCCCCCCCCCTTTTCTGCTCTGTCATATGCATGAGTATAGTTCCACATATTTTAGATTTGACAAACAGTGATGTTAGCATACAACTTGAAATTGGTATGCCCCCACCTGACCAAAAAAATGACTAAGTCCAACTACCTGTCATTTTCAGAATATTTGAAAAAAAAAATCAAAATCCTGTGGCCATGCACACCTCCATTATGTGTGTGAACATCCTACCAAAATGTTAAAGCTGTATCTCTAAAACTGTAGGAGGAGATAGCCGGACAAACCATGATCTCTTTATGCAGCTTGTACCAAAAAAAATGATTAAGTCCAACTACCTGTCATTTTCAGAATATTTGAAAGAAATCAAAATCCTGTGGCCATGCACACCTCCATTATGTGTATGAACATCCTACGAAATATTAAAGCTGTACCTTCAAAACTGTAGAAGGAGATAGCCGGACAAACCATGATCTCTTTATACAGCTAGTACCAAAAAAATGACTAAGTCCAACTACCTGTCATTTTCAGAATATTTAAAAGAAATCAAAATCCTGTGGTCATGCACACTTTCATTATGTGTATGAACATCCTACAAAATATTAAAGTTGTACCTCCAAAACTGTAGGAGATAGCCGGACAAACAATGTATCCTAATCTGGATGGACTGACAGACGAATGGACAGACTGATGGACAGGGGTAAATTAATATGCCCCTCGACATTTTGTCGCGGGGGCATAAAAACCTCATCATTGACCACGAACCATGAAAATGACTTCAAGGTCAGATTATACCTGCCAGACAGACATGAACACCTTACAATAATTCCATACACAACATTAGTTGACCTACTGCTTATTGTATCTGAGAAACGGACCTAATCACTTAGTAACTTAAACCTTGATCACTGATCCAGTTAATGAGGTCAAGGTCAGGTGAAATCTGACGGATATGTAGACGTTGCAAGGAACCCGTGTACCAAATTTTGTTAATAAGTGAGAAATTTACATGACAAAAAATCTCTTAATTTTTTTCAAGCAATAGCTTAACCATGAAAATGAGATCAAGGACACTGGACATATGACCGAAAGAAACTTCGTAACATAAGGTATCTGCATTCAAGGTTTAAAACATCCTGGTCTTCTACCTTCTAAAATATAGCTTTATACAAATAGTTTACACCGCGGCCATTGCTGCTGCCGGATAATAATCCCTATGTCTCCCATACTATGACTTTCGTTACAGGCGAGACAAGAAACACCTATAGAGGGGATGTTTTCAATGTACAAAAAAGTATTAAACCCACCAATGATTGAGATTTTAAAATGCCTTCCCTCTGTCCCATATAGTTTCATGGAACAGCTCTAGGCAGAAATCACATTATCTGTAAGAAAAATTCAGTCCGAGAGTTTTATTCTGTTTTTCCCTTTAAAAACAATGATAGCAAACTGAAGTGTTTTTATTTATATATATATACCACTATGTTTGAATATTGTAAATATTTTAATAAAAAGATAGACCAAAATTAACAAGGATTCTGAGAGTATTGCATGGCAATTGCAATAAAGAGTCCTAAAAATTCATTGTACTGGAACAAAATGACAAAAAAGTGTGGGAAACTGATAACCTGTGTGTATTTTCTAAGTCCAAGGACCATGACTCTGCAAAACAATTATCTGAATGAAACAAAATTCGAATTTGATCTACTTAACTAGTCATGGTAGAATTTTATACTAATAGCAAATCAATATCGTCAAGCATGATAAAAAAAAGTGCGATAACTGATTACTTGCATGAATTTTCTAAGTCCAAGGACCATAACTCTGCACAAATTCATCAGACTGGAATAAAATTCAAACTTGATCTGTGATTAGTCATGATAAAACTACATGTAACTGTAGATGGACTACTAAGACCACTCTGCCACTGAGGCCGCTAATTTTAAAGGAACAACCACCAATAATGTTTTGTAATCAGACAGTGAAATATCAATGGAATTTTTAATCACAGTATATTTCGACAACAGTATTATAATGATTACTTTTCTTTTAATGAGTATTAATGAACTACCAAATCTGCAAGTCTGACATTTAAAACCATTAAATCTTTGGTGGTCCAAAGATTAATTCATGCTTATTTTATTCTTCAATCCAAATTCTAAATTTATTATCATGATTGTATCACATTGAAAATGAGAATATGTAAAGCAACACATTCCTCATATCCTCCAAACATGTTGAAACTTTTTATACATCTTTACAATGCAGCTGCCAAAGATTCAATACATTATCACAAGTACTCAAAACATTGTATTATATAAATCCTAAATAGTTATTTGATCACATTCTGAATACACCAAATCTAGTCTTTTCTTGTGGAGCATTCAATGAAGCAGATATACTAAGTCCTAGAACTGTCCTCGTATCAGCTGGGTCAATAACTCCATCATCCCATAACCTGTCAACAAGTAAAAATACAATCTTAAAGTGGAGTTAAAAATCACAGGATAAAAGGGGTTTAGCATTTTTCAAAACATATCAGAATTTTTTTCTGTTTAAGAATATTTTATTTAGCAATAAAATAAAACATTTTTGCTGGTCTTTTTCTAATTATCAATCATAACTTATATATTGTTACCGTTGATAAAGAAATTGAATGAATTTTCACATTTTGATTCTTCTAAACACTACTCAAATTATTGAAAAAGAGTAAGTGATGATTGGGTATTCCAAGTTAGTTCTTAAATTTCAGCTAAGAAAACAACATATCTGATAGATATAAGAAGATGTGGTATGAGTGCCAATGAGACAACTCTCCATCCAAGTTACAATTTATAAAAGTAAACCATTATAGGTCAAGGTATGGCCTTCAACACGGAGCATTGGCTCACACCGAACAGCAAGCTATAAAGGGCCCCAAAAAATTACTAGTGTAAAACCATTCAAACGGAAAAACCAACGTTCTAATCTATATAAAAACGAGAAACGAGAAACATGCATACATAATTTTTGACATGTGAAAAAAACACCTAACGCAAACTCCTCAAATCAATAATAGGCCAACTAAAATTAATTAGTAGATTTTCATCCAGATTTTTGATAAAAATGGGGCGGGTGGGAGGATTTTATTTTTTAATTTCTATTTCCTCTAAAACCCTTTTGTATTGTGTTCTTTATATGCAAGGGTAATAATGAGCATTTGTATGCCATTTATATATGGTCTACATAATTTTATAAATTCTTTAATAAATATTTCTAATTGGCAACTACTATTCTACATGTAATTGTGGCTTTAGAAACCTATTATCAGTAAATAGCAAAAACATGGAGAAATGCTCTCTTTTAGACTACCTACATCAAGTTTATTTTGCTTTCTAAGCTTTTGTTTGTAGTGCCCATAAAATGAAGCGTATGCAGCACAAGTTTCATGAGAACAGAGTAAAATGAAAACTCAAAAAATTGAAAATACTAGGGACCTTAATGCTTTTAAGATTCTAATGCAAGGTGCAAATATAATTACAATGTAAAACATGAACTTAACAAATAAAAAGTTGTTGTTTATGACTCTGTTGAGGGGCTGAGGACAGAGGGTGTTTGCTGTTGGTCAACAAAAAAATTCGTAAGGGTTCCGCGGAACCCAGTGTCTCGCCTACTTTTGCTGTTAATCGCAGACTCAACAAAAATGAGGAAAAAAATTAATAAAAATATTCCTCTCTGTACTACCTTCTGATTGCAAGTAGCTTCTGTCCAAGTTTGGTAAAAATCCAGGATAGTTTATGAATCTAATAAATGTTTTAAAAACTTAAACTGCAGACTGTATGTAATGTTAACTGGAAGAAAAATTAAGTCCATTTATAAGTAAAATACGGAAAAAATGGAACAAAATTTTAACAAAATTTCCTTCTAGATACTAGCTTTTAATCATAAACAAGCTTCTGTCCAAGTTTGGTACAAATCCAGGATAGTTTAAGAAAGTTGTTAAAATTTTAAAAACTTTAACCACAGAGTGAATGTAATGTTAACTGGCAGAAAAACTAAGTCCATTTATAAGTAAAATACGGAAAAAATGGATTTTTTTTTTTACAAAATTTACTTCTGGATACTATCTTATGATCATAAACAAGCTTCTTTCCAAGTTTGGTAGAAATCCAGGATAGTTTAAGAAAGTTACTAAAATTTGAAAAACTTTAACCACAGAGTGAATGTAATGTTTCTTTGCAGAAAAACTAAGTCCATTTATGTGTAAAATACGGAAAAAATGGAATTTTTTTTTTACAAAATTTACTTTTGAATATTATCTTATGATCATAAACAAGCTTCTGTCCAAGTTTGGTAGAAATCCAGGAGAGTTTAAGAAAGTTATTAAAATTTCAAAAACTTTAACCACAGAGTGAATATTTGTGGACGCCGCCGACGACGCCGACGGAATGTAGGATTGCTATGTCTCGCTTTTTCGACAAAAGTCGAAGGCTCGACAAAAACGACAGCCTTGGGGTAAATATAAGGGCTTGCTGTATTTCATTTTGCACATTGGCCGACATTTTGTTCTCAGTATACGGTTATAAACTCGCACAAGTTCATACTTGTGTCAATTTCTTTATTCTAGTCATGTTTTTTGTACCAATGTGTTCTACAATTCTTGCATTTTGATATCATTCAGTCCAAATTTCCTGACTCAAAGTCATTGTATAAATAAAAAAATCCACAGTTTTCTAATCACTGAAATTTGTGACATACCATGATTTGCGTTCTTTGACACTGCTTATTACTCGTAACCAGAATATTTCATTCCTTTCCCGTAATTAATCTTTATTCTAGAAAGACACTATTGTCATCATGGAGCAGCAGATTAATTGTCCACTAAATTATTTTGGTTAAATTACTCGAAGAAATAAGAAAACTGTAATTTCCAACAGGAAGTACTGAATGAAACAAAATTATCGGCAGTTACCGGTAAGAGAAATCTTAAATTTTTAGAAAATAAAAACAATCTGTGCATGACGATTTCAGAAGGGCAGGCGGGGATGAAAATCTATCAATGAATTTTAATTGGCCATACACTACAGGTCCCAAGGATTTAGTCATTTTCACCTAACAACTGTGGACAGTCCAAGTATGTCCACTTAAATCACTTCTCAGATTTAGGAAAATTATTAAATACAAAACTTAACATTTTTCCACACATTTGTAAGTTTAATACATAAGATCAAATATAACCCAAATTTTGCACAATACATATGAACACAGACATGAGTACTATAGGGAACCACATCTCAGTGATCATAGATTTAGTAGCTAATCCAGCTGCCTCTAACTTGGGAGGCTAGTCCATTTGGACAGAATTAGAACACAGTTTCAATATTCCCCCACCCCCCCCCAAAAAAAAAAATGTCATGCATACTCAACAGGGGCCATCTAAAAATTATGCTCCATCATTTTCTATTCCCATCGTGGATATGTTGAAACGACAGAATATATGTTAGCTGTATTGTACATGACATTTAACACACTGAAACTTGAAAAGATGATTTGTGGGCCCAAATGAAAAAAATAAAATCATTCCTTGAATTATTTATTATCTGTATTTGGCTAGATAGAAATCTACACTTGAATTTTGTGTGGAGCAGGATCTGCTTACCCTTCCGGAGCACCTGAGATCGTTCCCGGTTTTTGGTGGGGTTCTTGTTGCTAAGCTTTTATTTTATTAAAATGTGTTTTGTGTACTAATGTTTGTCTTTTTCGTTTTTTGCCATGGCATTGCCAGTTTTTGATTTAAGAGTTAGAATATCATTTTGATATCTTTTGCCTCTCTTGAACTATTGAGTAAAATGAATGACCTACCTAGCACTAGAGAAATACGGATGACCTTCCAATTCATATTTCTTTATCACAGGAACTTTTAATGCCTCTTCTTCTTCTGCTGTCCACTGAAATTGTAATTAAAATCATGTAGATGTGCCACAAATCTAGATGCTCGAATGGCCTGTCTCAATATATAACAAAGTACTAGAATGACATTTCTCTTTAGCAATATACCCAAGTCAGCTACATTTAGTTTAAAAGCAATTTGCTTGTCGAAATTGCTTTTCTTAATAATTGTGACAACCACCTTCTTCTGCATTTAGGGTCATTAAGCATTATCTTAAAGAAAAATTGTTTGTAAGGCCAATTAAAATTAATTGATAGATTTTCATCCCCGCCCGCCCCGATTTTTTTTATTTTTACAAATTTACGATTTCCGGATTTTGTTCATTTTCGTTACCGGTAAACGCCGATAATTTCGTTTCATTCAAAACTTCCTGTTTCAAATTTCGGTTTTCGTATTTCTTATAACTCGAATAATTCTGCGCCCTCTAGCGGCCTATAGCCTATCGAGAATGTAGCAATCGAAGATTAGACGGAGATCGGCGGAATATAACAACTGACATTATTCGGGTTATATTTGTTAGACTAATATAAGTCGACATATTTTTCTGCTCAATAATGACAACATTATCTTCTGAGAATATAGATTGATTACTAACTAGAAGGGCATGAAATATTCCGGTTACGAGTAATAGGTGGTGTCCAAGAACGCTAATCACGGCCCACTTATGTCACACATTTCAGTTATTAGAAAACCGTGGATTTTTTTTATTTATACAATGACTTTGTGACAGGAAATTTGGACTGTGAATGATATCCAAAGCGCAAGAATCATAGAACACATTGGTACAAAAAAATGACTAATGGAGTAATTGACACAAGCATGAACTAGTGCTATTTATGACCGTATATTGAGTACAAAGAGTCGGCCAACGTACAAAATGTATTATAGCAAGCCCTTAGATTTACCCCAAGGCTGTCGTTTTTGTTTTTGTTGACAAACAGCAAACACCCTCTGTCCCCAACACCTCAACAGAGTCACTAAACAACTTCTTCTTTTTGGTTCAAGATATATATATAGTTCATGTTTTACATTGTAATAATTTATTTGCACTTTGAATAAGAATCTTGAAGGCATCAAACCTAGTATTTTTAACACAGTTTGAGTTTTCATTTCACTCTGTACTCATAATATTTGTGTTGCATACCAATGCATATGCTTCATTTTATGGGCACTACAAATCATAGCTTAGAAAGCAAAATAAATTTGATCTAGGTAGTCTAAACGAGAACATTTCTCCACGTTTTCATGGCTTTTGCTATTATATAATTCCTTATATATACATGATATCAGCTTATTATTATCTTTGTATATAAACAACACGTCACAAAAGGGTTTAGGAGGAAATAAAAATTAAAAAATAAAATCCTCCCACCCGCCCCATTTTTTTCAAAAATCTGGATGAAAATCTACTAATTAATTTTAGTTGGCCTAAGTTCATTTTGATATTGGTTAATGCCACAAATTTCAAGTAACTAATTCCTCAACTGATGTTTCTGAAATTGTGCATGCCAACACAGACTTTTTGTGATTGATGTATCTGTATATATGTAATGTTCTTTTATTATTATAATAAATTTATATGATTTTTCATCTCTTTTCATTTTTTGTACAGTTACAATTTATTCCTGTGGCTGTTAGCAGAGAGAGTAATTTTCAATCGATCTTAGTGTTATCTAAAGTTAAAATTGTTCATTCTCGTATAAGAATATTCAGATTTCTTTTCATTTTCTTTTATTTCAATCTTTTTCTTCAAAATAAAACACAAGAATGTGTCCATAGTACACAGATGCCCCACTGGCACTATCATTTTCTATTTTCAGTGGAACGTGAAATTTGGGTCAAAACTCTAATTTGGCATTAAAATTAGAAAGATCATATCATAGGGAACATGTGTACTAAGTTTCAAGTTGATTGGACTTCAACTTCATCAAAAACTACCTTGACGAAAAATTTTAACCTGAAGCGGGACAGACCGATGAATGGATGGACTAATGAACGAACGAATGGACGCACAGACCGAAAAACATAATGCCCCTCAACTATCGTAGTTGGAGCATAAAAAGATAAAAGACGCCAATTGAGTAGTTTTGAGTTGATCACTAAGTCTTAATCCCTACTTGATGCACAACCAAGCTCATTAGTGTATGATTATGGTTTATTGTTTTCCAAACATTTTGAATAATTTTTAATAAACTATAACAATGTAATCACTTATTATTTATCATAGTGATCGTAGATAATCTTAGGTAAACTCTTGTGATAAAAGAATGACATAAGTAAGTAGAATGGTAAGTGACCTGAAATTTAATTACACGTGTATTGTCAGGTGAACTCTTCAATCCATTTAAATCCCTGAGGTCATGTTTGGACATATGTGTATTAGTTTGAGATAAATAATGCAATTTGAATGCTTTTGTTAACCTTGGGACTGTAAATTTGGTTGGAGTCATCTGAAATTTCGACTCATCAGAAGTTGAAATACACATATATTTATATTGGACAAAGTTAGGGACAACGGGAAAACTTTGACTCTTCTTAAATTTTGAGACAATGAGAGTTAACTGTACATATATACACTTAGTTCTTTGCACAATTTCTCTATTACTAAATTTTTTGAGAACCTAAAGGTGAATTTCAGGAGTTTTGTTTACATAACTACTCTAAATATCAGCACAACAATGTTAAATCTGCGGAAGCAAAATTTTGTTCTTCCCTCGCTGGGATTTGAACTCATACTATTGGGATATCGAGACAACACCACCTGCACTGTGTCCATCGCTCTAGACACTCGGCCACCTAGACTGACCAAAAAATTCAGCTTTCGGTGGACTAGTGTAACCTTTCCTCGTCAGTAGAAAATAGAGTTGTAAAACAGTACATGATATATAAGGCATGAAGATGGAATTGATTGCAGATTAGCTAAATATCTATTGTAAAGGATCGTATGATACAGTCACAGAAATAATTATTTTGATAAGTACGTCTAAACAAGTTACAACTCTATGACAGATCCATCCATTGGATCACCCATGAAGGTGATACATGGCTGAAAACACATTTTATATTCATAACTACTCTAAATATCAGCACAACAATGTTAAATCTGCAAATTTGCGGAAGCAAATTTAAGTTCTTCCCTCGCCGGGATTCAAACTTATGCTATTGGGATATCAAGACAACACCACCTGCACTGTGTCCATCGCTCTAAACCACTCAGCCACCTAGACTGAACTAATATGTATATATAATTACTCTAAATATCAGCACAACATATATATATATATATATATATAGATAGTCTTGGGTGTTTTTAAATTTTGGTTCATTTGTATGTTTCTGAGTTTAGTGTGGCGTCCATTTTGCTGAACTAGGATACATTACTGTTTAGGGGGCACGCTGAAGCTCAACTCAGGGAGCAGGACTTACTCGCTACATTGAAGACCCTTTGGTGGCCTTGGGCTGTTTTCTGCTCTTTGGTCAGGTTGTTGTCTCGTTGATGCATTCCCAGTTTCCATTCTCAATTCTAGTATTAAATCATACCTCTTTTCCTTCCCTGAGTCTTTGTTCTCTTGTTATTTGTGCCAAAACATTAGCAGCTTGTTCACCTCCCATTACAGATATTCTTGAGTTTGGCCACATATATAAGAAACGTGGACTGAAAATAAAAGAACAGATATGACTAACCAACTTCAATGGTACAGCTCTATTATAATGCATACTGTTGATTCATTTTACTTTTGTGGGTACCAATGTTTGTGGATTGATGATATATTTTATTTCGTGGTTTGCCAAAGTATGCCTATATACAAACCTTTAAATAATTTGTACTTCATTGAATATATAAATTCGTGGTTTATCAATACACACAAAATCCACAAAAATTGGTATTCCCGGAATCCTTATGAATCCACAGTAGTTTATGTGTAAACTGGTAATTTGTTAATGTCACTGATTTTTAAAATATCAAATACGGAGATGTGGTATGATTGCTAATGAGACAACTACAAAAGACAAAGAGACAAGGTTGTAAATATCTACAGGTTATTATAAGGCCTTCAACAATGTACAAAACCCATGCCATATAGTTAGTTTTTAAAGGCCTAAACAAAACAAAATGTAAACAAATAAGGAAGGGAAACTAACAGCCTGATTTATGCATTAACATGGCTTTTTGAAAATACTGTCATATATTTTGATACAATAAGTTAACTCAACTTAGCAGCTACAAGAATTGATCAGTGTAGGTGGAAAGTTGATGGTTAAGAAATATAAGAATTATTTGTGAAATCCTCCTTATTTTTATTAATTTTTATTAATGAAAATTTAAGGAAATGTCTAAATTATACAGGAGTGCACACGCTGAAATGTCTAAATTATACAGGAGTGCACACGCTGAAATGTCTTAATTATACAGGAGTGCACACGCTGAAATGTCTAAATTATACAGGTGTGCACACGCTGAAATGTCTCGCCTGCTTTACCACCATTGATTTTATGTTTTACTACAAGTATCACATTAATTTATCATTAACCAAGAAAATGAAGTCAAGGTCAGATAAACCAAGCCAGAAATACATGTACACCTTACAATCATTCCATACATTGAATATAGTTGACCTAAAAAAAAATGTATGGACACATTTGTTATAGTATACAAGAAACAGACCAAACCATGAAAACTTTATTTTAAAACCATGAATATGAGGTCAAGGTCAGATGAACCCTGCCAGACAGAAATGTACACTTTACAATCATTCCATGGATCAGATATAGTTGACGTGTCAAATATAGTATCTAAGAAACAAACTTAACCTCAAAAAACTTATCATTGACCAATGAGGTCAAGGTCATATGATACCTGCCAGACAGACATATAACCATAACTATCATTATATACACCAAACATAGTTGACCTATTGCTTATAGTTTTAAGAAAAACAGACCAAAACACAAAAAACTTAACATTGAGTAATGAACCATGAAAATGAGGTCAAGGTCAAATAAAACCTGCTAGACTGATATGTACATCATAAAATGTTGTTATAGTATACAAGAAACAGACCAAACCATGAAAACTTTATATTGAACAATGAACCATAAAATGAGGTCGTGGTCAAGTGAAAACTGTTTGACAGGCATGGAGACTGTGCAAGGTATGCACATACCAAATATAGTTATCCTATTACTCATAATAACAGAGAAATTAACATTACAAAAATTTTTGTTTTGTTTTCAAGTAAGTCACTGAACCATTAAAATGAGGTCAAAGACAAAGGACATATGACGGACGGAAACTTCATAACATAAGGCATCTATATACAAAGTATGAAGCATCCAGGTCTTCTACCTTCTGAAATATTAAGCTTTTAAGTAGTTAGTTAACACCGTCGTGGCCGCCGCCAGATCACTATACCTATGTCGAGCTTTCTCGAAAAACCAATAACAATGCTCTTTCAATTACCAGATTAATAAATTAATTCATTTTGTGAAAATTTAAGCACTAACTTCATGGAACTATAATCCATATGAATCTGCTTATTAAAACAGTTAGGTCTCTTTTGTCTATATAAAGTCAAGGGACTGTTATGACCACAAGAATATCTTACGAGAAAAAATATCTGGAAGTCATGATCATTGCCTTAAATAAAATACATGTGTTTCCATTAACCTTCACTACCCTAAATATTTTTTATCATTTTTGAACAAGAACTATCAAACTCAAACTATTTACCTACCTACTTGCCCTAATTGTATTTCATCAAGTCAGCAAAACCAAAGGTTTATTTTTTTTACCTTTCAATCAATTTTAGTCACAAGGTTTTTTGTGAAGAGAGCCACATGTACAGAATTGTAATATAAATGACATATATACCTATATGATCTGCCACACATGCCATAATTGCCAGCACCATAGGACCCGCCTATAATGACAGTAAATTTAGGAACTTTGGCACATGCAACTGCGGTCACCATTTTAGCACCATGTTTTGCTATACCTCCGGCTTCTGCCTCTCTCCCAACCATGAAACCTATAAAAATAATATAAAATAAGAAGATATTGTATGATTACCAATGAAACATCTTTCCACCAGAGACCAAATGATGTTGAAGTTAGGTAAAATTGACTGGACCTTTTTGGATGTACTGTTTAGACTGATGCTCACAAATGTTTTATGTATTTGGATTCTTAACTTTTAAACTGGAGAATGACATATATACCTTTATCGCACTGCGGGTAAATTATTACGTTGTGATTGGTTTAACGCCGTCACGTGGTGACCCCCTATGGATCCGTAGGGGGTTATTAAATTTCATAGTGGGTTCATGAAGTCACGGCTACTGTTAATGGTGACGTCATCTCTTGATGTTTTTGTATTTCATTGTTTATTTTTCTACAAAACGCTGCAGAAAAAGTATCGCATGCGATAAATTCATTATACGGTTCACTACTGACCCCCTTCAGACCATAAAGGGTGAATAAAATCCATAGGGGATTCGGCCTTCGGCCTCACCCCCTATGGATTTTACTAACCCTCCATGGATCCGTAGGGGTCAGTAGCGAACCATATAACTTATAATATGATCTTCATTTACAAAGTTTATTCTAGATGCACCTGTCCTGTGCAAAGAAAAATCATTATTAGACTGCTTAATTGGAATTAAATTTCTTCATTTTAAATAAAACAAATGCCCAAAATAATTGTTTACCAAAGAGAAGATAATCATTAAATACATTTTCTTAGACTGTTTGTTATCAGGCTGCTGGAATTTCCTGTAAATACATTATTTTTCACCCTATGTGAGGACAAATGTCAAGATTTTTACATCTAAGTCATTTGGCTCTAGTGAATAGTTGTCTCTTTGGCAATCATACCACATCATCTTATTTATATATATATATGCACCTGTCCATAGTCAATACCTCATCAGGGTCAATCTGTCATTATATCTTAATGTTTTTTTTTGTAATTTAGGGAGTTTGGTTGTTGTTGGTTACTGTCTAGTATGAATCAGGCTGCTGATTTTTCTCTTTTGATTGTTTCAATTTTGTCATATCAGGGCCTTTCCAGAGCTCCAGATAAGCTGTGTATTTGCGTGATAAAACAAAAACAATTGAAAACCCAATGCAATTGATGATAGGAGCGTTCAAAAACCCAATTCATGCAAAGGAAAACCCAATAATATGTCAAAACCATGCATTCTCAACCCTTCTAGTCGTTATCGTGTGCGTTATTTACCCTTTTCATTTAATTATTGTCTCGTAAATCTATTTTTGTAATATTTATAAATGGTGATCTCCTTTCATTCTATAAATAGAGCGTTACATCAAATAGTTGATCAGGGTCCCAATTGGAAATGTCCGTTGCTGAAAAAGGTAAACGTGCTGATGAAAACATTTTTTGATCTTCTCTGTGTTTATCCAATTAGTGTAAGTCATGTGATCATAATTATTTTCGTATTGCTCAGGATTTATGACAATGAATGAATAAAACGAAAGTAAATTTCATGTAAAAATATTGAATAGAAGCATGTTTTCAGCTTCTTTTTGATAGCTGAGGGATTATTATGATGATAAAAAGACTCAGCTAGTGTTATCAGGAAGCGTTCCTCAGACGCACGGGTTCATGCAATTGCGCGTCCAGACAGAAAATTGAGTCCAGGGCGAGTATATACGCACTTTAAGAGAACATTGTTAGTACGACAAACACGGGTTTAGTCTCCATATGACTAATCAGTGGTGCAAGAATTAAATCAGTTGTAACAGTGATGGGCCAAATCAATTATGTAGTTGAAAAGCATTGGAAACCAAAAGTTCTAATAAGGGACAACTAATGACCAGATTTATGTTAATAAAATTAAACATTAACATTCAAGTATTATTTTAGTTTTAAAAGAGTATTTGGTTTTCATTTCTGTTGAGGAGTGAACACACTTATTCATTTTGACATAAATGAAGCTTGTCATACAATGTGCTTTCTATATAATTATTCTTATGCCAATAAGACAACTACAGATAGTTATTGCCAAGTGTAGTACAACATTGTCATTTATTTATTTGTTGCAGGATCATTTAAATTGAATGTGGTCTCGGTCATTGAACCACCCCATGGTCATATCCTTAACCTGGTCATTCTAGAATAGGTTTTAAGGTGTATCTTAATCCAACTGGGAACTATTTATTATTATCTTATTTAAAGTAGGTCTGGCAAACAGTTGATATGACTGGCAAAACTGTCTTACAGAATCCAATATTCACAAATATTACATCAAAATATAAAATCTTAGCCACACCTACCCCCAAATAAACCGAAGGGTGATTGTATGTGCTCTAGAAAGGTAATTAGTTACTGTCCCACTACTGACACCAGTTTATATAAGTTGAGAGAAAATATAAAACTTGCAGAAAGGTTGAAACAAACCAGACACATATTAAATGAACAATTAATTGCTTGTCAGGGTTTATACCAAATAAAACAGCCATGACATATATAATGAAAGAAACATATTCAGGATGGATGAACATTTCAGTTTTATAAAATTTCATTATTACATGTACAAGCCTGAATTCAATATCTTGATGATGAAAAACCCAATACATTAAGGAGCTTGGTGGTGAAAAACCCAATTTGATATTTGCTTTAGGGGTGAATTGGAATTAATAATTCAATTGAAAAAACTATTTTACTCAATTACATAAAAAATGGTGGGTGAAAAACCTAATTTGTGAATTCTTATCTGGAGCTCTGCCTTTCATAGCTTACTACAGGCTTTAGGTTTTTGCTAATTGTTGACTCACCCGTAATGTTTTGTAAAAATATTAATGGTATATTTCTTTGACAGCATAATTCTATAAAATGTGTTCCCTGAAATAAGAAAAACATGTCATTATCATCTATGACATATTTTATCTGTTGACAATCAATTCTAAAACATTTTTTATGGTCTTCATATAATACTATAACAAAACTGGAAAATACAGCATGATTGTGTGCCAAAATATGTGTACTAAAGTAAATAAGTTGACAATGTAAAAATTTAACAAATATCAAAATTAACTTTAAATAAATAATTTTGCATTGATTCTACAAAAGATGCTTTGTATCAATCTGATCAGTTCAGCCCTTTTCAACTGATTTTCATAGTTTGTTTTTATGTTGTGCTATAACACCACTGTCGCACTTTAGGGGAGGGTTGGCAGTCCAGCAAACCTGTTTAACCCCACACCACATTCAGCTTGTGTCTGTCCAAAGTCAGGAGCCTGTAATTCAGTGGTTGGCGTTTGTTGTGTATATCATATCTATTTTTTGGATTTCATTTAAATAAATCAGGCCGTTAGTTTTCTTGTTTGAAATGTTTCACATTTGTCATGTTGGGGCCTCTTATAGCTTGGCATGCGGTATGGTTTTTTCTCATTGTTGGGGTTCATTTGGTCTTTGGCGGAGAGTTGTTTCATTGGCAATCTTACCACATCTTCTTATTTTCATATCATAAAGATAGCTATAGATATGTATGAAATGTATCAATCCAACAATAAAGGTTATGAGTCCCTTTAACTTTCACATTATTAAGACTGTTTTTGTGATTATGAGCATAGTGTATAAGTTTCATAACATTTGGTTGGAGCAAACTTAAGTTAGAGAATGGAAACCAATTTCGGGACGTACAGGACAGATGGACGGACAAGGGTAACACTTAATGCCCCCGATGCCTAGCAGCGGGGGCATAAAAATCAAGTTGAAGGTTCCTCTGATTGCTCCTTGTTTGTTTAAGTCTTTTTTTCAAAACACTAAATCTGCAATACTTCCATCAATTCCAAAATACATGGGGAATGTGTTCATGGTACACAGATGATGCCCCCGCTTGCATATCATATAAAGTTATAAAGGGACATAACTGAAGAACGGTAAAAATGATGCTACCCAAACTTGTACTTGATCTGAATTTTGTGGTAATAAGTATTGTGTATAAGTGTCAAAACATTTGGTTGAGGCTAACTTAAGTTAGCGAATGGAAACGAAAATTCAGCAATTGTTCTTTTTGAAAACAGGCATAAGGTTTGGTACCATTAAAATGTTTAAGCCCGCTGCAATTGTTTGCACCTGTCCTAAGTCAGGAATCTGATGTTCAGTAGTTGTCGTTTGTTGATGTGGTTCATAAGTGTTTCCCGTTTCTCATTTTTTATATAGATTAAACTGTTGGTTTTCCCGTTTGAATGGTTTTACACTAGTAATTTTTTGGAACCCTTTATAGCTTGCTGTTCGGTGTGAGCCAAGGCTCTGTGTTGAAGACCATACTTTGACCTATAGTGGTTTACTTTTATAAATTTTGACTTGGATGGAGAGTTGTCTCATTGGCACTCATACCACATCTTCTTATATCTATCTAATAACTCTAGAACAGTAAAAGTGATACCACCAAAATTCAAAATTGATCTGTATTTTGTGGTAATAAGCATTGTGTATATATTTCATAACATTTGGTTGAGTCAAACTAAAGATAGAGAACAGAAACGAAAAATTCAGCCATTTTTTTCATTTGAAAAGGCGCATAACTCTAGAAGGGTTAAAGTGAAGCCACCAAAATTCAAACTTGATCTGTATTTTGTGGTAATAAGCATTGTGTATAAGTTTCATAACATTTGGTTGGGGCAAAATAAAATTAGAGAACGATATCAACTTTGGGATGTACGGATGGACGTACAGACGGACAAGGGTAAAACTTAATGCCCCCTCCACAACGGCAGGGGCATAACCATTGTTAATGTTTTATTATCATTATTTGATTTTTACCAAAAATACAGGATTAGTATTTTATCAATTACAAAATTTATTTACAATGTGTAACGTAAAATTATGAAAGCTTAATTAAGTTCATATCTTTCTATCTATTGAAAATCATATAATACATGTTGTCAAAATTCCTCAGTTTACATTATCTACGTTACCTTTAATGCCGATTCAGAAAATAAAACACCATTATTTCCTAAAATGCCCACTGGATATCCCCATAATCTAGCAAATCCTGAAAAGGAAAATGGCAGAATTACTGACAAGTATAAAACATTTTTTTCTTTCTGTGATTTAGCAGAGTTGTGGGCTAAAGTGCAATTCCTTATTCTTATATAAAGAAATAATGATGAAGTTCACAATTTGTTTACTGAAAACATTAAAAATCAATATTTTAGAAAAAAATTATCATTTGACTCTTGGAAAACAAATCAGGCAGACAACATTTGACCAGCATCACAACTTTCAACCATTACAAAAATAACAAGAAGGAATCCCTGGGGACTGACCCTATACGTCATTCAAATGTTCATTACATGACGAACAGGAATATATATGGTTTAGGGGTGGGGATCTCAACCATTTACAAGATATTAGAACTTTCTCAAATGGCAGAGGGTCGGGATGACCCCTGGGGACTAACCCTGTATATCATTCAAACCATCTTCACATGACAAACCAGAATATATATGGTTTAGGGGTGAGGATCTTGACCACTTAGAAGATATTAGAACTTTCTTAAATGGCAGGGGGTGGGGGTGACCCCTGGGGACTAACCCTGTATATCATTCAAACCATCTTAGCATGACAAACCAAAATATATATGGTTTAGGGGTGGGGATCTTGACCACTTACAAGATATTAGAACTTTCTTAAATGGCAGAGGGTGGGGGTGACCCCTGGGGACTAACCCTGTATTTCATTTGATGTGCTTTATCATGACAAACCAGAATATATATGGTTTAGGGGTGGGGATCTCGACCATTTACAAGATATAAGAACTTTCTCAAATGGCAGGGGGTCGGGATGACCCCTGGGGACTAACCCTGTATATCATTCAAACCATCTTAGCATGACAAACCAGAATATATATGGTTTAGGGGTGGGGATCTTGACCACTTAGAAGATATTATAACTTTCTTAAATGGCAGGGGGTGGGGTGTCCCCTGTATTTCATTTGATGTGCTTTATCATGACAAACCAGAATATATATGGTTAAGGGGTGGGGATCTCGACCATTTACAAGATATTTGAATTTTCTCAAATGGCAGGGGGTCGGGATGACCCCTGGGGACTAACCCTGTATATCATTCAAACCATCTTAGCATATCACAAACCAAAATATATATGGTTTAGGGGTGGGGATCTTGACCACTCACAAGGTATTAGAACTTTCTTAAATGGCAGGGGGTGGGGGTGGCCCCTGGGGACTAACCCTGTATTTCATTTAATGGGCTTTATCATTTAGAACATTTTCAATTAAAAAGATTGTGTCTATCACAAACGGTTTTCAATTTATAATCATTTGAAAATTTTTAAAAATGAAATCCCATAGGGTTCTATAGTAAAACTCTCTTTTCTTTTTGCCCCTCAAAGTACCCCTTTATAAACCCCATTGCACAAACAAAACCCTGATTGCACCACTAGACGTGTTAGTCTTAACATATTGTGAAACTCTAAGTTAATCTGACAAGCGGTTTTGGAGAACGGGTGCGGACAAGTTCAAATTTAAAAGCGGCGGAAGAGGAAGAGGAAGAAGAAGAAGAAGAAGAAGAAGAATAATAATAATAAGAACTGAGCAAAAACAATAAGTCTTCCCAAACTTCATTTGGGAGACTTAACAAGCATTCTGAGAGTATTGCATGGCAATACATAGTCCCCTACCGGATAAAAATTCATTATACTGGAACAAAATGCTAACTTGTTCTATAACTTGTCATGGTGTAAACAAAAAGTAAATATCATGTCAATATCTTCAAGCATGACTAAAAACAGTGTGGAAAACTTATTATATGAGTGAATTTTTCAAATCCAAGGACCATAACTCTGCACAAAATCATTAGACCAAAACAAAAATTTGAACTTGATCTGTAACTTGTCATGATATAACTATATACCAATTATCAATCAATATCTTATAAGCATGATGAAAAAAACATTAGATATGATGTAATACAGTGTATATCTATTTTCAAATTATAATCAAAGGTGTAATACCACCATTTTCCCCTATTAGTCTTTGTTAAATTTGCACTTTTCAAAAAATTGTGCAGAATTTATCTTTGTTTCAAATAAAGAAATACTTGGCATGAGTAAAGTTTGATCCTGTCCAGTACTATAGAAAAAATTTCACATAACATTTCATTGCATATAAGAAAATAACAATCACTGGAAGTTAACCAATCAAATTTTCCCCCTTTTTTAACCTGTGTACAAGCTTTAGTAACCATGTAACCTCAAGTTTCCAAAATATTCTATAGAAACCCCAAATAAAAAAAAAATGGTGCTTTGAAATACCCAAGATATATGTTTATGACCCAGAAATGTTTTACTGCAATGAAATGTAGGATCAATTATCTACAACTGTCAAATTCAAGGGAATATTTTTTTTCGACCTATTTTCGTATGCAACCGGATGTGACGTCCTATGATTTGGTGGTATTACACCTAAATATAATTAATAGTTCCAAATATTTTTTTCTTTCATTTGTCACAAACTAATATAGATTTGTAACTTATCTATAAAATGTCAACAACTTTTACCTACACAATGTAATGTATTGAGTTATATACATTAATAAAAATAGATTATTATCTAATTAAAGGATTTCTCTTCATACTTTTTTTTTATATATATATAGCATTCAGAAAATTAGTTTATACTAAATAACAAACAAACCTGCCAAAAAATTCTTCAAATAATTTAACAAAGAATGACTTTTAAAAAATGAGTTATCTCCCTTTGTACAGAGATATGGTTTAACATAGTACTCTTTACATTAGAAATGGTCCAGAGTTATGGTCCATAACTCCGGACTAATTCATCAGACTGGAACAAAATTAGAACTTGATCTATAACTTGTCATGATAAAACTATGTACCAAATATCAAATCAATATCTTCATGAACGAAAAAAAAATCGTGGAAAGCTGATTTGCCGGACTGACGGATGGACAGACGGACAGACAGACTGACAGAGTGCAAACCTTAAGTCCCCTTCGACTTCGTCGTTAGGGGACTAAAAATATAGTATGACTTATCAGTTTTTAATAACTTTTCATTATCTAAATCATCTTACATCTGTAAAAATAAACGTTTTTGAAAGTAGTCACTTGTTACCAAAAACAAAAAGAAATAAATATTATGTTCACTTTTCCTCGAAAGTAGCATCATGGAATTAGACAAATCAGATGGGTGTCTCATGTGGAACAGGATCTACTTCCCCTTCTGTAGCATCAGAGATCACCCTAACATTTTGGTGGGGTTTGTGTTGCTCAGTCTTCAGTTTTTTATGTAGTGTTTTGCATACTATTGTTTGCCTTTTTGTCATGATGTTTTCAGTCTTTTATCAACTTATCAGTATCTTGCGCCTCTTTTTTCTACTGGTATAAAACTTATTCAAATATGACATTCTTTGAGTACACACCTGTGGTAAAATATGAATATACTGTTTGGGCTGTTCCGATCATACTCTCATGTCATAAGCTTTTTTATGAATGAGCTACCCAACGTCACTTAACGATGACGTAATAACATAAGCATTTTATGGGAAAATGCACGATTGTGAAACCGAGTCATCAAAACAATGAAACATAAAAAAACAAAATGATAAAATGTGTTATAAGTCAATTTTTTTTACAAATAAGTAAATTTATCATTTAAAATTCATCCAAAGCTATCTAAATACTTTATTGTAAATAGTTTAAGCATGTAACTAGTTCAGTTTGCTCCTACCTTTTACGTTAATGTAATAGTGCGTTTATTTACAGGAATGGCACATATTTGCCTTCACCTAGAGTGCTTCGATCCAAAAGAATTGCCGTATTTGTCCATTAGCTATCGCTCATGGTAAAATATTTAGCATAAAGGACCAACCTGTGGTAAAATCAGTATAAATTCAAGCCCCCATTAATTATTTCTTGAAAAAAATTTCTGGAGAAATTCACCCTTTATAAAATGCACCATTTACATTTTTGGCATTAACAATAACTGCTGTTATACATCATGTACATCTAAATATATATGACAAACCTGTGACTAGAGTTTCACCATACATTGTTTTAAATTCATCAAATCTACTACCATCAACTATTCTGGCAATTACCTACAATATACATATTATGCACATTAAAATCAAAGGCAGGTCTAAGTAATTCATTTACAGCAATCACTAGCCTGTCAACACTGAGTTGTGAGCTCAAACCCTGCTCGTGGCAGGCACACTTGGAGGTGTGTTCAAAGACAATCATACTTGACAAAGATTGCCAGTATCCCTGGCAAAGGTTGTGATTCTCTCTGGACACTCCAGTAGCATTAAACACAATCAATCAATCAATCAATCAATCAATCATAAAATTAAAGGCATCTGATATTCTATTTCAAGAATATTTCTTTTAAAAGGTTTCTAAAATTCCAAATTTTCGTGTGAGTTATTCAATAAAATATTTTACTATTTTAAGATTTAAATAAAATGCTCCGCTGGGCGCAGCTTGATACGACCGCAGAGGTAGAACCCTGAACAGTTTGGGCAAGTAAGGACACAATATACAAGCTTAATAAAGCACTGAATTTGGATTGTGATTAAATATTTGACACAGCATATGTTTCTGACACAGAATGAATGTGGTCTAAGAACTTAAAAAATTTTAATTTACCTATTCAAACCATATCATAATTATTTGCTTTTATATATAAATCAGAAATAACCAATTTAAAATGGATAATTTTTAAGAAAAAAAAAGGAAAAAAAAAAATCCCCCCCAAATTTTTTGAACCCTCTTATGATTCATCACCCCCAAACTCAATTCCAGCTTTCCCTTTGTGATATGGAACCTTGTAGTACAATTTCAGAAAGATCCATTTACTTACACACAAGTTATTGTCATGAAACTAGAAAAATGCTTGTTTTTTGCCCCTTTTTTGGCCCCCAATTCCTTAACTGTTGGTACCATAACCCCCAAAAACAATCCCAACCTTCCTTTTGTGATATTGAACCGTATGGTAAAATTTCATAGAGATCCATTCACTTAAACTAAAGTTAGAGTGCGAAAACCAATGTGTCTTCAGACGACGACGGACTAAGACGACGCCAACGTCATACCAATATACGACCGCAAAAAATTTTTTAATAACCATGAACACTTCCATTGTGTAGAAATTTTGTATCTTCATTTAAATTCAAATAGACAAACTGAAATTGAAATGAAGATAAAAAATTTCCAAATCAGAATTTTCTTTCACTAAGTTACAAGCAGTAATAGTTTACCATTGAAAGTTCATTATTAGATTAGAGATCAACTTAAATAGATTGTACTCTTAATCACTCTCTTTTATGATTAGGGTTGTTTAATCAAAAAACAAATATTGGAGCAAAGAAAGGCATCTTGAGATCTCAACTATGGGTGGTTATCATATACATTTTTTACAGTGAAAATATCAGTGAAATTCAAATGTACATGGTTATCTTCATTTCAAAATTAACTTTCAATGATATTTTTAAACAGGGTATACATTTTTTTTATATTTAATGTTTGAAAAACTGCATTTTCAGGAGACAACATACAATCGTGTTGAAATACGGTATTTCATAAATATCAAGCTAATCTCAAATATCTTATATCTCTTGTACTCTTCAATAATATTATTTGTGCATTTTGTATGAAATATTAGTGTATGTAATATGATCTGACATTTGTATCTATTGAACTATTTGGATTATTGACATGAAGAACAGTAGATTTCTGAACTCATTACACATACCTCCCGAACATCAAATGTCTTTTTTAAATTAGCCCCCACAATTCCATATAAATCGTCTGCGGGGTATATAGGTTCATCTGGTGTTTCTATGGTTACCTGAAATAATAACATAAAATAAAATATTATAATACATAGAACACCATACTCTGCTCAAAGTTTCCCATTTCCATGTTCATCGAACCATTAAAGCTAGGTAGTCTAAACCCTAGTTTGGCATATATATCAAAAGTCACTTAATAATGAACCTGTGTACTTATAAGTTTCATGATGATGCGATCACAAACTACCTTATACCAAAACTTTTACCTTAAACTAAAACTTTAACATGATGAGTGAGGGATTGACAGACAGCAAACAGACCAACAGACTGTGAAACATAATGCCCTTCTAATGGTGGGACATACAGATTAGATTCTGATCAAACACAATTACAGTTCTTAGTCCTTTTCATCTTTTTTTAAGGTGCAAACATTGCCAACTTATACTATTTACCATTAAATATCAAATTGGAAATGGGGCTTCATACCCAGCAACAAAAAGCATTTTGCATTATGAATTCTTGTGCAACCTCAGTAAAATATATCTATGCATTTCAGGAGGGTCATAATGGGGGTACCTACATGATGAATAACGGTAAAAATTTTTGCCAAATGACGTTAACGGTAATTTTTGGTGCATGACGATTACATTTACTTTTTTTCTTTTAGACGATATAAAAAAATCGACTGATTTTGACAAATCACATTATTTTTTTTCCAAAAATAACGGTAACAATAATTATTTGAGACCTCTGACGAATCATGATAAAGATATTTTGACAAATCACTGTAAAATTTTAACAAATTTGACACTAACGGTGGCCGAAAATGACTGTTTGATGCCTGATGGTAAAGGGCATTCATACCCTCTTTCAGAGGTTTAAAAAAAAATCAGTTACTGATACACAATTTATAAATCTATTAGAGCTGTTTTAAATGTTATTGGGTGTTAAGTATAATGCAGAGTATAATGTATACAAGCTGAAGCCCCGCCTACCTACTGATTGCACATGTCAATCTTAATTACAATGCTTGAGCAAACATTTGTACAAACAAGCAAGCAAGCTAACCAAACCTTTAAACTACAAGCATTAGGAAAATAGCTCTAATCCAACTAAGATTTCTTTTGATAAACGTGTGATATCTTAATGGATCAAAATTGATCGTGAGTCAATTACTATTTGACACCTAGCAAAAACTATATTGCCATGGACAACTAAAGCAAGATATATTTATATTTCATTAAGGTTATAGTTAGATGAGAAAAAATCTCCCTTCCAACATCTGATTATAAAGCTCCAATTGTAAAAATTAAGACAAAAAAAAGGCTACCAAATCTTGCAACCAATGTTTTGCTTGCCCAGTAACACTGACAAAAACTGTTATTCTGAACTTACCCCCGGAACATTACGATAGTTTATATTTTTATTATTTTTCATTAATTTTTCCACCAATTCATTATCCATTCTTAAAGACTTTTTACTTCCCCTGTAACCCTGCCAAAAAAACATTTACTTACCTTAGGATCTTTACGATAGTTTATATTTTTTATAATTCTTCTTGCTATATGTAAAGCATGTTCATCATCTTGTGCGTAATAATCTGTTACCCCAGACTTACTGAAATATATCACATTGGAAATTATAAAAGCTTTATATTCAAAATTTTATAATTTCTTTTTCTTCTTTTCTTCTGCTTTTTATTTTTCTATTTTTTAAATAACCTCAATCTGATTGAAATACAGGTCCTGTGTTCATGTTTAGCTTACAATGGACTGAAAACGCTCCATTCTACTTTTTGTTTTAAAGATCTTTCCGAATCCTCTGGTTTTGTTGTATTGATACACAATTTCAAAAATTTGGAGACAGAAATTTCATTGACTGATGCCATAATTACAAGAACAGAAACCAGAATGGAGTGTTGTCAGATCCTTGTAAGCAAAACATGGTCACATGATATATGTATTCTAATCAGATTTTATATTATTACCTACTCCAAATATTTGTTTACTTCTGTACTATTCTAAAAATATTTCTTTTCAGTGTCCATCTAGGAAAAATATATTTGCACCTTTCATATATATTTAGATTAGTATAAAGATTTCAGACCTATAAATTACACTTTTTTTTTAAGGATTTCTACTTGATTTCATTCAAGATAGAATTTTAGTTTACCTGTCTTTGCTGTTACTCCTTAACACAATATGCTTAGAGGTGAAGCAGCAAATACCAATTATAAAGTCAGTGGTTTGACCCGGCCTGGATTCAAACCCACAACCACAACCTCACACATTTGAGGCAAACACACTACCATGACACCAATGAGGTTGTCCCTATGAATATTATGATGAAATGTACTGTATAAATGTCTAATCCTCCTAAATATAAATTCTTACCTACAATGGAGGTCAGCCCCTCCTAACTCTTCAGCTGGTACATCTTCACCTGTGGCAGCTTTTACCTGTATTGATTAAAAAAAAAAGACAAAATTGTTATGTATTAAAATAATATAGACAAAATTGCAATGCATTAAAACTAAACTGTTATATTCTTTTCAACCCAAAAATGTAAATGAACAGTGATATTCCAGTTCTAGACTAAAAAAATAAATTATACTGTAAATTTAGATTTATTTGCAATGCTTTTATTATTTCAAAAAAAACCACTAATATTTTAAATGTAGATAGTATAGTGTATGCAGTATTGATCGGTGTGAGAAAAATATTTCTCCTCACAAGTGAAATATCTGTTCTGGGCAAATGCTTGGTCGAAATTTAATTGTGACGTCAAATTTTCTTGGTTTTCTCTGAATTTTCTTATTGTGACGTCATGAAAAAAGGCGACCATGCCTGATGACGTCACATAAAAAGTACACAACTTTCTTCAAATCTTTGAAAAGGAAGGATAAAAATCATTAGAGAAACAGATTCCACCACTTTAACTCATGCATTACGATATTTCTCCACTCTCAACAGTTAAATTCTAATTATTTAAAAAGCTCGGCAAGCCTCGCGCTTTAAATATTAAAATTTAAATGTCTCGAGTGAAGAAATATCGTAACACACATGTTGCAGTGATGGAATCTTATTTATATAGTAGTAAAAATATGTTGAAAACAGAACTTTTCAGGGGAAAATGCTGTGTATCATGTGATATTAATCAGTTACTCCCATATTTTGGTAAGTGTTTCAATACTCTGAATTCCCTCTATTTATCATTCTGATTATTCTACTTTTAAACCTAGATATTCTTTTCGAGGAAAGCTTCATGAATTTACATTAGTTCCTATCCATTTTTCACTATTCATGAGCTATCCCCATCTGATAGCCCTGGGGAAAAGCTAATTAATAGTCATAAAAAATTGAAAGGAAATTTTGTATATCATAGCCCGTATTGGTGATGGTTTCGTGTGCAAACATGCAGGATGAGATAAATAAGTAACTAATCTCATAGCCCTGAAATATTCTCATATTCTCATCAGTCACTGCAAAACCCCCCACCCCCTTTTCACCTAACCTTAATAACAAACAACTTTATAAATAAATAAAAAGATTATAAAATTATATCAACCAAGTGGGTGTGCATCAATTATATGACTAACCAATGGGGGACCAGCCAAAAATATAGTTCCTTTCTTCCGGACAATCACACTTTCGTCAGCCATTGCGGGAACATATGCGCCTCCTGCAGTGCAACTTCCCAAAACAACAGCTACCTATAATTGAAAATTAACTTCAACAAATCACATAAATAAAGTGTTTCAGGTGAATTATGCTGTTTCAGGTTTTCAAGTATCTTAAACCAAATGCATTTTTACTGACTGTTGTTGACCAAAAAAAAAAAAACATTTCAGGCCTTGTCGTTTTTCTTTTTAGATAAATTTGTTTCAATTTAACTATATGTTTTTCATATTTAACAGAAACTTGTTTTACTTGTCAGACTCTAACAGGTTTTTTTTTTCATTTCTTACACCATTCTCACATTTTACAGAATTTGACAAAAAAGAAAATAAACTATAATATAATTTAACAAACCTGAGGTATACCTTTGGCAGACATATTAGCTTGGTTAAAAAATATTCGACCAAAATGGTCTCTGTTTGGGAAAACATCTGCCTGTCGTGGCAGGTTTGCACCTCCAGAGTCAACTGAAATGTAGTGTTAATCAAATTTATTTGGTTTTTTTAACGAGTTAAGTCATTTCAATTGATATTTTATAGTGTGTATTCTTATGTTGTAATGTTACACTACTATCTCAGGTTAGGTTGAAGGTTGGGATCTGTTAAAATGTTTAATCCCGCTGCATTTTTATGCATCTGTCCTAAGTCAGGAGCCTGTTGTTCAGCGGTTGTCATTTGTTGGTGTGGTTCATAAAAGTTTCTCATTTCTCATTTTTTATATAGATTAGACCGTTGGTTTTCCTTTTTAAATTGTTTTACACTAGTCATTCATAGCTTGCAGTTGGGTGTGAGCCAATTCACCGTGTTGAAGGCCGTACTTTGACCTATAATTGTTATCTTTTTATACATTGTGACTTGGATGGAGAGTTGTCTCATTGGCACTCATACCACATCTTCTTATTTATATTATATTTTCCTGATCAATGATAAATGTTAAGTATCTATAACTCAACCAAATGAAAAGATTAAATGTTTCCTAAAATGAAATGTCAAGAACATGTTTCCTAAAATAAAAAAGCAAGATCATGTTTCCTAAAATAAAATGTCAAGAACATGTTTCCTAAAATAAAAATGTCAAGAACATGTTTCCTAAATAAAATGTCAAGAACATGTTTCCTGAAATAAAATGTCAAGAACATGTTTCCTAAAATAAAATGTCAAGAACATGTTTCCTAAAATAAAATGTCAAGAAAATGTTTCTTAAAATAAAAATGTCAAGAACATGTTTCCTAAATAAAATGTCAAGAACATATTTCCTAAAATAAAAATGTCAAGAACATGTTTCCTAAATAAAATGTCAAGAACATGTTTCCTAAATAAAATGTCAAGAACATGTTTTCTAAATAAAATGTCAAGAACATTTTTCCTAAAATAAAATGTCAAGAACATGTTTCCTAAAATAAAATGTCAAGAACATGTTTCTTAAAATAAAAGAACATGTTTTCTAAATAAAATGTCAAGAACATGTTTCCTAAAATAAAAATGTCAAGAACATATTTCCTTAATAAAATGTCAAGAACATGTTTCCTAAATAAAATGTCAAGAACATGTTTCCTAAAATAAAATTTCAAGAACATGTTTCTTAAAATAAAAATGTCAAGAACATGTTTCCTAAATAAATTGTCAAGAACATGTTTCCTAAAATAAAATGTCAAGAACATGTTTCCTAAAATAAAATGTCAAGAACATGTTTCCTAAATAAAATGTCAAGAACATGTTTCCTAAAATAAAAATGTCAAGAACATATGTCCTTTTTTAAATGAAAGGAGATGTAAGATATACATTAATGAGACAACAAATCACTGACAAAAAAAAACATATCTTAGTGGAAAAATGCAGTCTGTTTGGTGCTTAGTCACATTAGAGGAAAAGACGACAGGATTGTGGTTATGACAATTGGAACATATCTGTCATCATTGGTCAAACAAATAGTGATGACTTTAAACTTTATATTATAGAGACTTGTAACTACGGTCAAATACATCTGGATCAAACTTTTTATTCAATTAACTTATTTGAAAATCATAATCAGAGTTCTTGAAACATGGTGGTCTGAAGGTATTGACCACCAAAATTTTGGTATTTTTCAATAGAAATAATAGCGAGGACCAGCAGATTTTAATCAAGGATAACCAGGGGAAAAAATTTTGACAACTGATATTGATGTTAAAAACCAGTTGTCTCCCTTATCCCACTAACAGGTGTATGTTAAAATTCCTTACACATAATTCCTACATAAACTGGACTAAAAGCCAAGTGACAGCTGTTGAACATTTCAAATCACAGTGATGTATGTATTGTATGCATGTAAGTTCAGTTGATATTGTGCCCCAATGTAATGTAAATGCAGAATTTCATGCATATGGTTAAAAAAACTTCTAACTGCATAATTAACATTGACTGATTTTAAGGTCACCAATACAAATGTGAACTTCAACTAAGGTGCTGTACATTCACTCTTATACCGTTATGATGTATGACATAATCTTATCATAAACTCTTAAAGTTTATATAATCTTCATTTTGTTAAATACAAACCTAAATAAATACAAGGGAGATGATTCTGTTGGGCTATTTCTTGTGCCCTAAGATGTTTTGTTACAGTTATAGGATAATATGATCCTCCTTTTACTGTTGGATCATTGGCAACAATCATACATTCTACACTGTAAAAATAAGGATCTTCATAAAATAAACAGTTTTTACATATGAATACATGTTTAATTGTTTATAAACAGAGATATGTCTCGCCTGTTGGCAGAAAATTCAGAAAAAGACAATCTGATGGACAGCAACATTTCTAATTATTTCAAAGTCGCTGGACCCTGACAAAGAAGGCAGCACTTCAAAATAATCGTCAAACTGATATGTACTGGTAGAAATGCAACTTTATAGAAAATATCATTGATCTATCATAATTAATTCCTCTCAAATTAATTTAAGCAGAAAACTTAACATTGAAAATTGCTCATTAATTAAAAGTTGCTGGACCATGACCTATGGGGCAGGGCCTCGAAATAGTTGTCAAACTGATATGTACTGATAGCAATGCAACTTTAAAGGTAGTATCATTGATTTTTAACAATTAATTTCTATCAAACTGATTTAAGTAGAAAACTTAACAATTGTTGTTGCTACAGAAAAGCAACACGTATGTCTCCCTCGCTGAAGAAAAAAATCAGGAAAAAAGATTTGAGATCATGACTTATTGCTTGACGAACGGGGAAGATGGAGCAGAACAATACATGTATATATTGTACAATACATGTACTTTATAGCTTGCTGTTCGGTGTGAGCCAATGCTCCGTGTTGAAGGCTGTACCTTGACCTATAATGGTTTACTTTTATAAATTGTAACTTGGATGGAGAGTTGTCTCATTGGCACTCATACCACATCTTCCTATTTCTATGTATGTCTAGTGGAAGAATTGTTACTGAAAAAGCTACCAATCGAAAGAAAGTTTTGATTGATTGACCAATGATCAAACCATGACTGTTTTCATATAAATTAGTTTGATTGATTGGTTAGTGTTTGCTTTACCCTGCATCAGTGCAAAAAGGCTATATCGTGGCAAGCAAATAAATTTGTCATTTAATGTCAATTAAGTACTATTAAAGCAATAATATTACATGTAAACAACATGAAAAAAAACAACATATATCATACATTGATTATTAGTACATGTAGTACCATCCTGAATATTTGTTTTTCTACCTACTAATAATATCAATTGTTCCCAAAATTCAATTTCCTTTCAATGTAAACTTCTACCGAAAGTTTTTTTTTATTTTTTAAATGCTCTCTTGCATGAATTGCATGATATGAAATACTTTTATCATTTTCAAAAATTAATTTTCATAAAATGCAAAATCAAGAGCGCTGTTAAAATCAGTACATTTTTATTTTCTAAATGTAAAATGCACTGATCTGATATAAGTATGTACCCTGAAACCCTTCCTATGCCTGTTATGATTCCTCCTGCTGGTACCTCTTCCTTTCCGTACAACTGGTATCCTGCTAACTGACTTAATTCTAGAAATGGTGATCTGAAATAAAAATTCAATGAATAATTTTGTTTTAAATCTTCCATTTACTATATTATAATTTTTTTTCATTTCTAACTTTGCCGTAATACTGAATTTGTACATCTTAACACGAAGTACTAGTTTTATGCTAATTATTCTATTATATAAAAGAAAGAAGCTTAAGATTTTTAATTTTACAACCCATATTTTGAATTGAGCTGTTCTTCAATAATCATGATAATAAGCATTCAGATTCAGATGTCTGTAATTATTCAAATTAGCATGTATCTTTAATAATCATAGATCATCCAGACAGTGATTGTAAGTTCAGCTGGTTCTATTTCTGTTTGTCTTAATAATTACAACAAGCCTCAAGAAAACCAGCAGGCATCTAGTTTAATAACTGACCTAAATGTTTAACACAGCATCCCAAAGAACCTTACTCATGATACTGGTTTTTTTCTTGCAAATTTAGATATTTAACTAATTAAAACTGGTATAAAAACTATGTCATCCAATATATTTGCCTTTAACAATAATCGACAATAAAGTCCTGATAGTGTTTTATTCAAAACACCTTACATGTACATACATTTTTATGTACATACATGTTTAATATTGCTACTATAAATTTCTTTATTACTTAAACTGGAATAAAATCCTTATTTTTTAAAACAATAATGCAATTCATCTTCTACGTTTGCATTTTTTATGGGTATCTTTTGTATGCAAGTTGTTTATCTATTTTTGACAATGCTTTATGCTCAGATTTTCTAATCCTCAATTTCTGACAGTCGGAATCTATAGTATGAATAAAAAGGAGCAAAGTTTTATAAATGTCAAGTTTTTTTTCACCCAAAAATAACACATATAAATATGAATACCAATTCCAAAAAGGAGAAACAACTACAAAAGTGTGAAGACACATATATATTTAACATGTTTAAAACAGGCAAAATTGTCCCTTGTTGATGTGAAACTAATCTGAGAGATCTATACTAACTCTGGGTCTAATAGTCCATTGATTCTGTCTCTAGGTAATAACTTCCCTCTTGATAAATGACGATCAATTGCTTTTGGACCTCCTCCTAAAAAAAAATATGTTGAAAGTTCTTGCAGAACAAATATAAATCAAAATATTTCATTTCCTAAAATAAATGATATCTAACATGTCTAATATGAGAAAATATTAAGCGACTCTTTGATTACTCTATTCTCCACCTTAGGCCTCAGTCAATATTTTATTATTAGGTTAATAAATCCTTGCATCCACCTTATTAGAGGCCTAAAGCTAACTGTATGATTTTCAAAAAAAAACAAACTAGAAAGAGTTTTAAATATCATTTTTCATGTTCATGGGAATCAATGTCCTATTCTTTCAAAATTGTACTGACAAATGATTCCCTTAAAAGGTCATCAATCATATACAGAGGTAGAACAAAAAATTAATCATATATGACATGCCTTGCAAGATATCTCACTTAGACAGGTACATGAATTTGCAATCATGAAAATCAGATTTTTTTTATTTGTATACATATCTTAGCGCTTCAGTTCAGTCCTTATGAATCATTGTAGAAATTAGTCATTTATATGGATACAGATCACTTTATGATGTTAAGAGAAAAAGTATCAAGCACCCTCAACCCAATCAAAACTTGGGTGAGCTCAGGTGATCCAGAATCTTACCCTGTATCACAGTAGAAACTGTAGATTGTAAATCTTTAACCAATGACAGCATGCGGTCATAATTCTCCTGTTAGAATAAAAAAAAAAACTTTTTACTTAATGTACATGATGTATTTGAGAGTCTATTTAATTTATCATGACTGTATCATTTCTAAGTTATCTATTTATCTTCTACTCTTAGCATTATTACTTACACCATAAATGAAAATTGTTAGTTGAACAAGGCACAAAATAACAAACTTAAGGGGCTAGTCCACATAATTATGACGTCTTGAAAGGCTACTTTATTTTTTTTTCTGTGACACCTTCATATGACATTGGCTTCATCGTTATGAAGTCGTAGGAAGGTGTCACAGAAAAAAATAAAATAGCCTTTCAAGACGTCAAAATTTTAAAGACAAAATTATCATGATTATTTGGACTAGCTGGATTTCTGTGATTTAAGGTTTAAGGTTAACAGGGTACCCTTATGTGTGGATGTCACATAAAATGAATATCATATAACATAAAAAAAAAATGCAAATAGAGTAAAACAGTGACTTATATATACAAAACATTATAGAATATATTATAGGGAGCACAAAAAAAATTGAAGTTGCAGTGAACCTTGAACTCTGGAGATTCTCTTTCTGCTTGTGTTCCTATTGGTGAGGAAATTTCAGCATGATATAAGCGTCGAATATAAAGCTTTAGTTGTCGTGATGAAAACGAGGATAAACTAGGAAAGGCTTTTCTCATCATTTTCGTCTTGGAGGTCGTGTGTTTACATTGCTGAATTTAGTTTCGTACAAAAAAAAAGTAGTTTGGTAAATTTTTTGTCGGGTATTTCTATTATTAATAGACTAATTTATGACGTTCAAAAATATTATTATGAAATGCTAAATGTATAAATTACATATTAAAGTTTATTGTTTACATTAGTTTTATTTTAAACGTTTTAATTTTATTTATACGCAACTATAAGTTAGTCTCTTTTTCCAAGGTCAAGGCTACTCAAGAAAACGTGTACTTCTAAAAAGTGAACACAACGACTAGAAACCATGTCATTTATTTATGTCAGCCCAGAAAGCCATTTTCCTATTCAGAATCTACCTTATGGAATTTTTTCCACAGATGACAACGTAGGTAGCTTGCGAATTATCCTCTAAAAAATCGAAACAAACCTGCGGTAGTCCATGGAGGTGTGTCCTTGATGGTCCAATCAATTACTTTAAAAAGCGAGGGTCCTCAAGAGGATTTGTCATTAAGTCAAGAATACACTACTGTAATTTTACAAACTATTATTTTAAAACTGCATGTCCCATGATCAGTGGAATGAAAAGATAAGTGGTGATAATATGAAAAAAGGGGGAGGGTTGTCCTGTAACTGTAAAGGTAACTGCAGAACTGTAGCTACAATGTATAATCAGGACCTTATGATTTATTTTTTTTTAATTTTGATATACCTGTACCCGTCATTCTTCCTGCCGGAGTGAACAATTCTTAAATTTTGAAGTCCTCTTCAGTAAACATTCAAAATTCAAATCTTCTGCTTTTGCATTATACCATGGCATTGATGTCATAGACCCCGTTCACACTAGGACATTTATATAGATTTAAACTAGATTGGTTCACTTTAGATCGGTTTAAGTGAACACTTTGAACCTATCTTCAATCGGTCTAAACTAAAACACCAAAAGAGGTAGTTTAGTTTGAATCGATCTAAAGTGAATCGATCTAAAGTGAATCGATCTAACTTTAAATGTGAACGCAAAGATCGGTTTAAACAAGTACGATTGAATCGAAAATAATCTATGCGCATGTATAGCGACAAAACTACAAGTGTAATATAAACATACCACCGCAGTATATATATATCAGTGGTTCGTTGTTTAACCAATATTTCTCTGTTTAAAAACAGACCTTTGTCATGTTTGTGTACATGCATGTAAAAACAAACGGAAAAAAAAGTTGTCTCCGCCGTACCATAAATTTGTGTGTCTTCTTTCATGTGTCTTTTCTTCTGTTGTTTTTGTTTTTTTTTTCAGAACCGGAGCATTTCTTCCTTGCTACAGTTTTTTGTTTCAAAATTAATAAAAACTACAAGAACACCAGAGTATCAAAATTTGAACTTGTGATTCAAGAGAAACAATAACTTCATCCATTTTTTTAAGAGTGTGTTTCAGTGTACTAACACATAAATTTGATTAATTATTTCTATTTATACACAATGTTTACAGTTTTACAGGTAATTTCAGATCGATTGCATTTTTAATTGCAGTGTGACCGCAGTGGTTCAGATTAGACCGATAGAGATCGTTATGGTTAAAGATAATGTGAACGCTAACTGGTTTTATTTAGATCGATTCAAATTAGATCGATAAAAAAAAAATGCTAGTGTGAACGCTTAGTATTAGTACAAGATGCCCATTACAACTCATTCACTTTTTGAATACTCAGGAATGTTTGGCTTTTCAAGTCTTGTTGATCCATTTATTTTGGAATTTAAGGTGTTATAATGGATTCAATAACTGATGTATATAAAGTTCATTAAAGGGAAATCCATTTAAGCTTGGTTATGTATGTAGATTCACCTGATTTTCATCCTCTGGCATCTTCTCATGAAAAAATAGACAATATTTGTCATATACTTCCCTTGTGGTCAGTCAGGGGTACTATTTGTACAAGTAATCTTTATTTACTTGAAGAAGTAAAAAAATATACTTATATAAGTTAATTATAATGTTTGAATAATCTCCCCTTAATTTTCTCAAAAATTCACTTGTATAAGTAATTTTTTTTTACAATCCCACAAAAATTCTCAAGTTTTGAGATGTAAAAACATGCCTTTAATGATTTTTCCCAGGTTAGCTAATAATTTTTTTTAGAGTTCAATGTTTCATCTCATTAATTCAACAAAGAATAATAGATATGAATTTAAGAAATACATACTCAACAACTGGTTACACCAGGAAACCTGTTTTTTTCTCCTTATACATAATATATTTATTTGAAAATTTTTTTAAAAAGAAAACATGAATCACAACTCTGTTTTTTTTTATTGAAATACAACAATGAATTTTCTATATACAAGTATATACTTCCCTTGTGGTCAGTCAGGGGTACTATTTGTACAAGTAATCTTTATTTACTTGAAGAAGTAAAAAAATATACTTACATAAGTTAATTATAATGTTTGAATAATCTCCCCTTAATTTTCTCAAAAATTCACTTGTATAAGTAAATTTTTTTTACAATCCCACAAAAATTTTCAAGTTTTGAGATGTAAAAACATGCCTTTAATGATTTTTCCCAGGTTAGCTCATAATTTTTGATTAGAGTTCAATGTTTCATCTCATTAATTCAACAAAGAAACTGATTATGCAAAGATCTTAAGTATTTGCTCAAGGCCTTCAAAATTGCTCCTTGGGGGCTTGTAAATGAGCAGTGTTCTGAAGGTAACAGACAAATGAGATTTTCATTGTCCATGAAATTACACGTGTTCCAACAATAGTCCATCCACACTCAGATACAATGACGTGATTAACGAACCAAATACCCAGTCAAACACACCCACATTTCTTAGTTTCATTACATATGTAAACAACAACACTACAAGGTCAATTAAATAGTTCAAGTGAAAAGTAGACAAAAACAGAAAGGGTAGACGATGAAGATACTGCATTTTTTTTACACACATATCATGCATATACATGCCTTTCATCTTAAGGAATTACTACAAGGAACATTAATCCAACACAAATTATATAATCTAAAGATTGTAGTACTAATGGTCAGGGTGGGAAGCTCAACAGATACCATCCAACATATAGTAGAATACAATCCTTAGCGACCAAAAAAATAGCAAACTTTTTAAGCATATCAGATAGTTCTCAAATAGTACATTAACATTTAAGTTTTAAAAGCAACAAACAAAATATTCTCTACTCAGTTTTCAAATTAGATGATAAAGCTACAATTTTTTTTTCTCTCTAATATAGAATTATCAAACTAATTCATTTAAAAAGTCATATGCATTACATGTAGACATGTAGATTAGTGGTGCCAACCAGTGGTCGCCCCCGGACATGGTAGTCGTGACATACAGGGCATGAAATTATGTTAAAGCTTAATCCAGTGTGACATGTACGTAGCTTGGAAAACAGTGGAGTCAGCGCAAAGTACAGCGATTGTACTGAAATGACAACAAAGCCCGTAAAATTCAAACTCTAACCCTTGTAATTAATTTAGAAGTAGAATGTCCTGAATTTTATAATATCATTAAGTAATAGTTTGATTTATTTAATTATATTTATTTTTTTTTTTTTTTCTTATTTTATTTATACAATTTGGATTTTCAGGGGGGGTATATCATGAAACAGTTATTGCATTTCGGGAGTTAGACATGGGCTTGTTTTCTGCCTGACTGATCACCAGTCAGAGCACATGACGATGCCTGGTTTCAGGTTGCAATTAACCTACACTATCATGGTTTGTATCCTCCGTGGGATAGTGCGTATACATGATTCCCACGGGACCACTGGCTGGGGCAACTGATCAAACATAATCTACTTTCGTATTTTCGAAATACGACAGTGCAATTGATTATCATGATAAAAATAAACACAAACAAGTGACACAATACGTTAATTTTAACGCATAACACTTACAACCACAGATGAAAAAACAAACAAAAAAAGAAAAACATAACAAACATACAGTATTTTTCTTTTAATTAAAATTAGATATAAAAGTACAGGTCAAAAACCAAAGTCTCAATCATTAATAGAAGTTAATTTTCAAAATACTAGTAACACTAATTTCTTTCTTAATTTGTTTTCTATTTAAATTTATTAAAATAAGTTTAAACTAGTATATGTCAATAAGGCGCACTACCTAAAAGCAAAGATAGTCGCCTTCAAAGTAATATATAATATATATTTATTTTTCTAATTTTTTATTTTTAATGGACTTTTTTTCTAAAGTTAAATATTACTAATATAATGGACCAATTCCAAAAAGTTAGTTACCAGGGTGCAATTACCAGTTGGTAAGCCGTCCACCAAAAACATATAACTGTAACCATGAAATTACACTTAAATGATTAGTTAAGACATCTGCAAAGGACAGACAATTTAAAATTCTATTAGAGCAAAGAAGTCCTAAGAATTCAAGAAAAGAAGATAGGATGACTTATATAATTAAAAAAATCTGAATGACATAACTAAGCCTTTTTTTTTACCTATACAAGTAGATAAAATACACTTGTATAAGTATCCTACAAATTTACTTATATATGTATATTAATATTACTTCTTCAAGTAAATAAAAATTACTTGTACAAGTAGTACCCCTGACTGGTGGTATGGCTTTGGTGAGAAATTGTATTTTGTCTTAACCTGATTGATTGTTTTACCAAAGAACAATTAATAGACTTCCTTTTTATACACACATTCAAATACTTGTCAACAAAAATATGACTATTTTATTTAGTTGTTCATTAGGGTTAATTTAATTTGCGAAAAATTTATTTTTAGCTCTCATTTTATATCATAATTAAACATTAAGCAATCAAATATTAATTTTGGCTATGTTCTACATTCATTTTAATCATAACACTCTTGAGTATTCCCTGGCATTGCTATATTATGTTTATTACCGAAAATGCTATACTTTTTTAAAATAATGAACTCTTGATTTCAAGTACAAAATCTCCCTGAATGACTGAATGACCCCCTTTAACAATATGCCGGTGTATTTCATAAAGGGATCATTATTCAATATTCTTAAGCAACATAGTTCATTTTGTAGTTCTGCTCTTTATTTGTAATATTGCATGCATAGACTTTAAGTATGAAAGGGTTCTTGGGGTCAATAAATATAATTGATGATATGAATTAATGGGATTAATGGCCTCAAATATGAAAAGTATTGTAAACATTTAGTCTGTACCATAAGCCACTAGTCCTATGCCCCCAGACTAGTAAAATTTTATCCGGACTAGTAAATATTTGCAAAACTGTTCAGACACATAAGAAAAATGTCTAGATATTGGTCTTCGGACTAGTAGTGATTTTGGCTGTGAAATATTAAAAATTTTCACAAAAATAGACACAAACTTTTTAAAATCACTGAAACAAGTAATTTGAGAAGTTAAAATGTAATCACTTCAACAAGTGTTTATAACATTTTCTTGATATTTTTCCCACAAGCTTGCCTTTTTTATTGGTAAAAAGACAAGTATTCCATTGAAAAAACAACAATGTACATGCAGAAATTGTCTTTTGCTTGATTAGACTGTCAGTTTTTACAATTTATTTAAAATATGCAAAAACTGGAATAATTTGTAGATCAGGACATAACCTTGAAGTAGATCATTATAACTCTAAAGAAAACCAATCAGGTTACCTAATATTGTTGACCTTTGTCTAATAGTAAGAGTAGTTAATGAATATTTGTTTGTCAAAATATGGAAAATCAATGAAATTAGCATTTGAAGATCAAAGGAAACACCAAAATCACTTTAATAGGTTATTAGTGAATTTATCAAATCACTGAAATAGGTGATCATGAAATCACTTGTTTAAATAGTACCCCTGACTGTAGTAGTTGGAAAACATTTTGGTGCAGACTGAACATTTTGTTTGTTTATCATATGAATTCTCTTCCGTTTCATGGGTACCAATTTTCGTGGATTGAGGAAAAAATCATTTTCATAGATATTTGATTTCATGGTTTTTCCAAGGTCTGCATACAAGACTATCAATGACTATGGAACTTTTGTACTTCCTTGAACATTTAAATTCGTGGTCATGTTTGTATTTCATTTCTATGTATATCAGGTTTTTTTTTCATTAATCAATACTGTTTTTACTTAATTTCAGCCAAGACACAGAATAGGTGTGGCTATAGGGGACCAGATTTTAGATTTGAGTGTAGTGAAGAGTTTGTTTACTGGAGTTGTACTACAGAATCAACAGGATGTGTTTGATCAGGTATTGAAACAAGCTAAATCACAATTATGATAGTGTTCAAGTAAAGTCACTGACTGACTGGTAAAAATGGAATTCTTGTAAGCATTTAATTTGCAATCAATAAAATTCTACTTGAATGTCTGTATTTAATCAGTTAGGGGCATTATTTAAACAAGTTATTTTTTTTATCATAACCTTTATAGGTAATTTTTTAAGGAAAAATTTTCTCAAAAGAGTTTTTCTAAATTTCAGTAGATGCATTTACTACTATAAATTGAAACACATTTTGCATTATTTTAGTACAAAATATTAAGAATTAATTATAATTGAAAAGAGTATACAGATAAAAGGTTACTTTTAAAATATTGACAAATATTACTTCTATAAAAATAAAAAAGAAGATGTGGTATGAGTGCCAATGAGACAACTATCCATCCAAGTCACAATTAGTAATAAAAACTAAACAATTATAGTTCAAAGTACGGCCTTCAACACAGAGCCTTGGCTTACACCGAACAGCAAGCTATGAAGGGCCCCAAAATGACTAGTGTAAAACAATTCAAACAGGAAACCAATGGTCTAATCGAAAAAACGAGTAGTTCATTTAAGTTATTGTATACATCTTTGATATGATTAATAATTACAATTATATACAACATGTATAACAAGCATATGTAATTGTTTTGGGTTACAAATTATAAATAACGTTAAGTCTCAATCAAGTCACAGGTTTCCATCTATTTATATATGTCTACCTTTAAGATTTCTGAGGGATATGATACTTATAATAGTCCCAAAATTATGGGTTTTGTTATAGAGTACATTCCCTTGTCATAAATTAAATCTTTTAATTGTAACTGCTGAAAAATGAATATCTATAAGTGATACACTATTTTGTAGCCTACCTTGAATGGATTTATGGGACTAGGTAGAGCAGCTTGGAAGGAAGCAAGGGCAACATTACAGAAAATATTGTCTTCCAACGAACCTCTCCTGAAAGACAATGCTGACCTTAGATCAAGGTAAAAGACATCATTGCTTAAGTTCTTATTGGTTGTTTGTTTGCAGGATGTATACTGATCGTGTCTTGTTTCCCCCTAGTTCATGCAGTGAGGGGTTTGGTAATGGTTTTCATTTGTTCGTCCATCCTTCTGTCTGTCTGTATGTCCAAACACGTCAAAACTCAGATATATAAATAAGAAGATGTGGTATGAGTGCCAATGAGACAACTCTCCATCCAAGTCACAATGTATGAAAAGTAAACAATTATAGGTCAAAGTATGGCCTTCAACACAGAGCCTTGGCTCACACTGAACAGCAAGCTATAAAGGGCCCCAAAATTACTAGTGTAAAACAATTCAAACAGGAAAACCAATGGGATGGTCTAATCTATATAAAAAACAAGAAATGAGAAACTCTTATGAACCACACCACCAAACGACAACCACTGTACACATTATACCACCATTTTGATTCAACTATTTTTAGGGGAGTTATGGGACTTTGACCATTTTTTTTTTTGCACTAACTTGCTACAATGAAACCTTGTGAACACACCTCCTCTGCGGCCATTTGACAGAAAGTTTTCATACTTGGCAGGATTGTTTGCCAACTTAGGTCATTGACCATATCATACAATCATTTTGATTTGACGATTTTACTGGAGATGTGGGACTTTGACACTTTTTGGACTGTTTTACCCCAACACTTTGTAAATGCAACTCTTCTGACACTATTTGACCGAAAACTCTCTTACTTGCTAGGTTTGTTTGCAATCATATGCAGTTGACCATTTTATGGGAGAAATGGGACTATGATTTTTATTTCGACTATTGTATCACAATGCAATCATGTTCTGTCTATTGGATAACTCAAACAAATTCATTACCTTCAAATAATTTAATCTATGTTCCTGGTCTGCGTCTCTTTTCTGTAGACTGTACACACACTTTTATTCCTTATTTACACAACTTTGGGGACATTTCACTGCGGAGTAGATCAATGGTTCTCCTTTATTGCCTTTGATGTGGTCATTTATACTTTAGAGATCTAGATGATTAGAAGGAGATGTGAGGTATATGTGTCAATGTGACAGCATCTTAACCTCAAAACACATCCAGAGGGTAACAGACAGACATGCCTCCGGGTGCGGGATTTTCTTGCTGTGTTGAAGACCCATTGGTGGCCTTGGGTTGTTTTATGTTCTTTGGTCGGGTTGTTGTCTCTTTTGACACATTCCCCATTTCGATTCTCAATTTTATTCTATATTAGAAAGATGACTGTACAATATGTCAAGATTTATAAAAAAAGATAGATCATTATTAATTTTGTGTGATTGTTACAAAATTAGCTATGTTAGCAGAGAGTTTTAAAATACCATACAAAAATTATCTTAAAAATAATGTCCAGAATGTATTAGATTATGAAAGGGCAATATAATGAAGAGTGAATTCAGAGTTCTGAAAAGGTATTAGATTATGAAAGGGCAATATAATGAAGAGTGAATTCAGAGTTCTGAAAAGGTATTAGATTATGAAAGGGCAATATAATGAAGAGTGAATTCAGAGTTCTGAAAAGGTATTAGATTATGAAAGGGCAATATAATGAAGAGTGAATTCAGAGTTCTGAAAACGTAAAGCTTATCTTAAAAAAAAGGGAAGAAAACAGTCGTCTCATTTGCATTTATACCTCTTCTCCTTATTTTATCAAAAACAATTTAACACATTTTCCAGTGGCTTGACTATGTACAGGCAGAACATTTTGTGGGATTACATTAGCAATATAACTGCACAAACCTCTAGTTTGCCTATTTGAGACTGTATGTTTTAAATGTAAAACACGCAATACAGCTACCAGCATGATGACCGCTGTCTTAAACCAAAAAATAAAAGCTTGCACATTAGTTTTGAAAACAGGGTCAAAATGTGCTATTAAATGTTTTCTTCTATTTTTCAGAGCCTTTGTTGATCAAGGTCAGGCAACAATGCATCTTCCTGCTAATATAGGTAAGGTGTATACTCATTCTTTTCATTCTATATTTAGGTGACATGTTTTCCTTCTTCAAAAGTTTATTATATGTAATATTGTAATACTTAAATATACAAAGCTCCAATATGTCCAACATTGCAAGGAATGAAATATTTTCTGGTAAATTTTTATCGTCACCACATAAACCATCATGATCACTTGACATCACAAAATATTGAAGAAGCCATTAGGGCAACCTGGTCAAAATAAAGGTCAGTTATAGAACTTACAATATGGAATGTAAAACAGCCAAATATATGGTACAAACTGAACAAATGGCTGAAACAACTCACATTATTTTGATATCATAAAATTGAGAATGGAAATGGGGAATGTGTCAAAGAGACAACAACCCGACCATAGAACAGACAACAGCAGAAGGTCACCAACAGGTCTTCAATGCAGCGAGAAATTCCTGCACCCGGAGGCGTCCTTCAGCTGGCCCCTAAACAAATATATATACTAGTTCAGTGATAATGAACGCCATACTAAACTCCAAATACACATAAAAGGAGATCTATACATGTGCATTATATAAATGTATTTCGAAATATAAATGACATATTATGTTTTAAAAAAAGGATTTCTCTTAATTATACAGCTACTAAAGTGATTAGGGAAAATTGAATTTAAAAGAATGTATATTTTTTAAAATGAACTGATAGAAGAAAATTAGATTCATTGTTTAATTAAACCGACATATTGATTGATGTTATAGTTATAAGAGATATGGGTAGTTCTAAATGAGACAGCAACACAGCAACTTTTAATAGATACATAGCAGATGTTCTCGTGGATTGCATTGATATCACATTTTCAAAATGAAATATCAGGGCACTTTAATAACAATATTTTATAAAGAAACTGTCCAAGTAGTCTAAATAGAACTTATGAATTAGCCAGATGAACCCCTGAATGGAACAGCTCTTGCATAAATAAAGATAGTTCTTTATTCATTTTGATTTGTTCTAGGTGATTATACAGATTTTTATTCCTCAAAGAACCATGCATATAATGTTGGTGTTATGTTCAGAGGACCAGAAAATGCTCTGATGCCAAACTGGTAAAATTATTACTTGTACTTTTTTTTACACCATATGTTAGAATACAATTTTTTTCACCATATGTTAAAATATTATGTTTATCATAGCCATATGTACCATTAAATATTGAAAGGTAATACACAACTTCAACAATTATCCAAATTTATCGAAAAATTAACAACGAGATTCAATAGAAATACATGTGCTTATGGCAAAAACAATAGCTGTCATATACTTTAAGAATTTTAGTCTTCATGTTAATAAGATGCTTTAACTCCAAAATGCAATTAGAATGGGTGTTTTTTTACGAGTAGATAATCTTTTTTATAGATAGTTATCTCCATTAAAACTCATGCACCTCTTATTCTCTGTGAAAAAAAAAACATTTGCCAGTAGGGTACCTTTTCTTTTAGAGTGATGTCCCTTAAATCTCATGTACTTCCTAATCTTTTGTTATAGGACACATTTACCAGTAGTTCACATTTTTTTATAGAGAATTATCTCTCTTTATCTCATGTTTCTCCTAATCTCTCTGCTGTAGGACACATTTACCTGTTTGTTACTTTTTCTTAAAATTATCTCCCTTTAATCTCATGTGTCTCCCAATCTATCTGCTGTATGACACATTTACCAGTTTGTTACCTTTACTTACAGATAATTATCTCCCTTAAATATCATGTCTCTCCTAATCTCTCTGCTGTAGGACACATTTACAAGTAAGTTACGTTTTCTTATAGTTATCTCCCTTAAATTTCATGCCTCTTCTAATCTCTCTGTTGTAGGACACATTTACCAGTAAGTTACCTTTTCTTACAGATAATTTTTCTCCCTTAAATATCATGCCTCTCCTAATCTCTCTGCTGTAGGACACATTTACCAGTAAGTTACCTTTTCTTATAGTTATCTCCCTTAAATCTTATGTGTCTCCTAATCTCTGTTGTAGGACACATTTATCAGTAAGTTTCCTGTTCTTACAGATAATTATCTCCCTTAAATCTCATGCCTCTCTTAATCTCTCTGCTGTAGGACACATTTACCAGTAGGCTACCATGGTAGAGCTTCGTCGGTAGTTGTATCAGGAACACCAATCAGACGACCTAATGGACAAACCAGAGCTGATGAAAGTAAGTAAACTACTGCTGAGGTGGATTCTGGTTGTTACAATCAATCCACAACGGAAGTATTTTTTTTTTCTTATTTTCAAAATATTTTATGAAGTCCACTACATAAGTTTGAATACAAGACCAGCAAAAAGTAATTATATAAATAAGAAGATGTGGTATGAGTGCCAATGAGACAACTATTCATTCAAGTCACAATGTGTAAAAAGTAAACAATTAAAGTCAAAGTACGGCCTTCAACATGGAGCCTTGGCTCACACCGAACAGAAAGCTATGAAGGGCCTCAAAATGACTAGTGTAAAACAATTCAAACATGAAAACCAACAGTCTAATCTATATAAAAAAACAAGAAACACTTATGAACCACACCAACGAACGACAACCACTGAACAACAGGCTCCTGACTTAGGACAGGTGCATAAAAATGCAGCAGGTTTATTTATGTCTATTTTTTTTTTTTTCAAAATCTCAGATAAATTTTAGTTAGCCATAGTAGGCAAGTCACAATTACAAAATCCATTTGAGGTATAGTGTATTATCTGCTTATTAATTGAGGTCTAAGGGGGGTTAGTCTTTTGATTTGGACGGTAAGAACTACTGAGGGCTGTTCCATTAAAACATACATGGTACCCAGGGAAGGCACTTTGAAATGGGGTAACCACCTATATATGCAAATTAAAATTTCACTTACATTTCAACTATGTAAAAACATAGTTGACACCCACCCATAGTTGAGATTTGTAAGTGCCTTCCCTGGGTTCCATGTATGTTTTTATGAACAGCCCTGAGCAATTTTTAGAAAGCTAAATAAATAGCCTTTTAAACAAACTTACCACAACATAATGTGTTTTCAATGAACTTCAAATACTTGCTATAAAGTATTATGGCTTCCCATCATTGGTATTTTTTCTAAACCAATTTAAAACTCATTTTCAGGCTAGTAAGCCAAATATTTTTTGTTAAGATTGCCATTAAGAGTTATCATTAACTGAGTTACATTGTGTGCACTGTAATCTGCTCCAAAGCATTTTTGTATGTCATTGGTTACATGTTTGTGTCTCTTTTTTTGCAGGCCAGCCTCCTGTGTTTGGTAAATGTAAGTTACTAGACATAGAATTAGAGATGGCGTTTTTCACAGGCCCAGCCACAAAGCTAGGAGAACCAATTCCTATAGATAAGGCAGAAGACCATATATTCGGTATGGTGTTAATGAATGATTGGAGTGGTAGGTATTGCATTAGGGTATAAGGATAGGGATGGATTGACATGAAAGCAAGGTCTATACAAATATTGCCCAGTAATCATTCTTATACTGTGGATTCATTAACAGTTGAAGGATTTCGTTGTTTTTCTGGGTATGGGGAAACAACAAATTAAAATAGTCTACGAAATACAAATGTTTAGTAATTTTGATAGGAACATATGATGAAACCACAAATTAAGTATGCTAAACATGCTAAATTTTTCCAAAACCAAGAAAATTAAAACCGATTAAAATAAATGAATTCAGTCAACCGACAAAAAACAATCATAAATGTATATGAAAAAAGGTGTTATAATTGAATGCTGTTTATTTTATCTTGACAATTACTGAAAGGTCTAGTAATAAGCACAAATACCTTAGTCTAAACACTTTACAAAAAAGACCCAAGGCATTGCATGCATGAAGATAAGGTGTTTTTTAAAGTTCACCTGATGGAGTGTGAAATGAATTGCACAAATGATAAACCCAGGAATACAGTTGAACCTCGTTGTGTCGAACTCGGTTATGTCAAAAACTTGAATGAGTCAAAGTTTTTTCTCGGTCCCGGTAAAATTCCTGTTTGATCAATGCATAATTACCTCTGATGAGTCTAATACTCGGTTAAGTCGAGAAAATTTTATAGTCCTGTCGATGTAAAATTAATGTTAATTGACCCCGATGTCTCCAAGTTCGGAAGTAAGAATTTTTGAAAAATGGAGACATTATGATAAAAATTCAAATAGGATGTATTTCTTATGTTATCTAATCATTTTCAAAAGAGATTAAAGCTGAGTAAACATACTTTTTTGTATAACAGTTAAAATGACATGTTTATGGTGACCGGTAATTAACACCTTTGTTGATCGTTCAAGCAGAAAGTTACTGTTGAAACATATTTCACCTGACATTAAACGAAACGAATTTAAATGACCCAAGCCGAGATTAAAGGAATCAGGAATCGTTAGAATTAAAACTCATTAATTACAATAAATAAAAGGATTAAGACAATTACGATAAATTCATAATAATTTAATGTAAAGGAGAGGACCTCATTAGAGACTGTTCAGAATTTGTTTCATTCCTCGAGTGATTTCATAATTTATAGAGACTGACCTTTTTAAATATTTGTGCCGACTATTGATTTTATTTGTTCATAATTTGTATCTGTACTTGCGTGTTTGATTATGAAGGACACAAACTATGGAGATTGAATACACAATCATAAAGTGTCATATCCAAAAAAAACACACTGTTCAAAGTATCTAGTTTACACAAATCTCAAACCGTATTTCATGCATTCCAAATTTATGATGACACACTCGACCTCGGATGAGTCGATTACTTTGGTCCGGTCCCTTCGACTTCGACACAACAAGGTTCGACTGTATTATATTTATTGATGAGCTAACAAATTCAGCTATGCAGTAGAAATGGTAAATCTGTAATAGAAAATATTTATAACACTGGCATATGATACTGCATATAGCCATGAATCTTGATAGGCTTGATGCAGTCTGCACGCTTGGTAACATGCCCATCAGCATAGGCTTGTTGAATTTCTATCTGATCTGTAAGAATTTCTGCTACAGATTAATAAGAGTATATACCAAGGATCTGGAAATTTTTCCAGACAATTTCGGTCATTTTGAGATGTTTGAAAAGTTGGTGCCCCTTTTCAAATTGTCGATATCAACTTGACTATATTCATAGGATCAACGAACATGACGAACTTGTATTGCTGTTTCATCGCATTTACTAAGTAAATGTCTTACCATTACCATGAAGGACAGTTTAGGGAAGGCAACAGTCTAAAATTGAAATGATTTTAATGACTCAAAATGGTTAATTTCTCAGACATTGCTTACGTTTCTTTCGATTTGACAAAAGTTAAAACCGGAAGTTTGCGATATTTTAAAGTACGAATAATTCCGGATTCATTTCCGGGATTTGTTTTGTTTATCAAATTGACAGGAAATCACCGGCTTTTTTTATTTTATTACCTTTAAAAGTGTTTGAATATAACAGATAATAGTTGCACTCGTTTAATTTAGCATGAAATCAATTTGCATTTTACGATTAAATATTAAATTTGCTGAAGACAATTTCACGCATACGTATTACATAATAAATAAAGCACATGTGTTACTCATGAAAAAATATTTTTTCTACGTAAATTTAGATTTAATTTTTAAATCAGAATTGATGACTGTCTTTGATGAAAAGTAAATAAATAATGAATACACTTGTCAGGGAACTTTAATGTTTTAAAGATATTATTCTGAGCTTGTGATCACTGTCAGGTGTGAATTAAAACCACAGGTAAAAAGTGATTAGCGATCATTAGCCAATGTTTCCCGGAGGCATTGATATAGATATTAGGAGGGCCCTTAGGATTATCAAACTACTGTAGTGGCAGTTTTATTACAGGAAAGGGATTATAAACAAAAACAAGTGATCACAAGTGCAAAATGGCGATTAAGAAATCCGATTTCAAACATTGAGTCAATGAAATGACCGAAATTACTTCTGTAAAAAAATAAAATTTGTCCTAAATCCCAATTACTCGTTTAGGACAAATAGTTTCATCTTAGGACATGACTGGCAAATATGACCGTTTCCAGACCCTTGGTATATACACAATATTCCAACAATTACCATCAGGCCTGTGGCTGCAAAAGTGCAATTTATATTCGTTACTTTATTCCAGCCAGAGATATACAGAAATGGGAGTATGTTCCATTAGGACCATTCCTTGGTAAAAATTTCGGGACCACAATATCCCCGTGGGTTGTTACCATGGACGCCTTGAAACCATTTGCTGTACCTAACCAGAAACAAGATCCGAAACCTTTGCCTTATCTCTGTCATGAAGATCCATATTGTTTTGATATTCAGCTTGAAGTAGCATTAAACTGTGAGTACTTAAAGATACTGGCAAAGTACAGATCTCATTAGCTAGCATACCCACTAAAATTTAACCTTTAAAGATTTTGTAAAAAATATTGAATGCAAAAGCTGATATCATTTCTCCAAAATATTACATATGTGCAAACAATGAAAGGTTAATGGAAGAAATGAAATGTCTTGTCCACATCATATGTTACAACTGGGTACAAGAGAAGGTGTAGGAGTGTTCTTGTTGTATTTCCACTACCACCATTGAAGGTTGGAAATGAGAATAATATACTTTACCTGCAGTGTAGATCTCATTCTCCTAGACTTATATTAACTGTGGTATCAGTTATTTCATCTGGAGAATGATAGATGTGAATAATTTGTTAATTTTAAGACTTTACCATGGTCTAAAGAAATGAAAATTAGATACTGTATATTCGAGGTATTTATAATGGGAATATGCTACTCCTTGTGCAATAATAAGAACTCGTATTCTGATAACTGGTTCATATATCTGTGTGAAGCTTTTCCGAAAATCGCAATAATTAAACTCACATTTTTGTTCATTCTTCAAAAATCGCAATTATAAATGATAAATGCACGCAATGATTTCTGAATTTACAGTATATGATTGTTTACTCTTTTCCAGGTGATGGATTAAGTAAGCCGTCAACAATTTGTAAAAGTAACTTTAAGGTTTGTAGTATTCAGAAAAAATTTTGTATGCCAGATTTTCTTTAAAAAAATGATGTTATATCTAAATAAATACAGTGAAGCCAGAATATACTGAACACTGAATATTAAAAAAAAAAACTGCAAACTCAACTTTTAGAACATATTATGTTATTTATCTGTGTAAACAGAACACCCAGAAAAGAGGAAATCGCAGGGCACAATAGTTCCATTACTATCAGTTCCTATCAGTTTGACTACTGTTTTGAGGCCCTGCCCCCTAGATCATGGTTCAGCGACTTTAAATTAATAAGCAATTTTCAATGTTAAGTTTTCTGCTTAAGTCAGTTTGATAGGAACTACTTGTGATAGATTAATGATATTTTCTATAAAGTTGCATTACTATCAGTACATATCAGTTTGATGCGTATTTCCAGGCTCTGCCATCTAGGTCATGGTCCAGTGACTTTCAATTAATTACCAATTTTCAATTTTAAGTTTTCTGCTTAAGTTAGTTTGATTGGAACTACTTGCAATAGACAAAGATATTTTCTATAAAGTTACATTGCTTTCTAGCTGTATATCTCAGTTTGTCAACCATTTCCAGGCCCTACCCACTAGTTCATGGTCCAGTGATTTTTAATTAATTAGCAATGTTGCTGTCCATCAGATTGTCTTTTTCTGAATTTTATGCCGACAGGCAAGACATATCTCTGTGTCAATGGTTTATTTTTTAAACTATCCACCTTTCAAAAAAATTCTGCCAAAAATATCTACATATTATTTTTTTTATAATTGACAACATTTAACTTTACATGATTGACCTATGTATATTTTTCAGTACATGTATTGGACCATGAAGCAACAGCTAGCTCATCACACAGTGACTGGATGTAATACAAATCCTGGAGATCTATTGGCCTCAGGGACCATAAGTGGAGAGGTATTGATTACTGACTATTGCTATTTTCTAAATTATGCTTTGATCTTTTTTTGTGATAACTTTTCATATCACGCTACTTGAGTCATATGGATTTTTCTCAGTCGTGTAGAAATAAAATGTATGACATCATGAGCCTACGTCATTGAAGTTGCTTAGGAAAACAGTGATAACAGATTATCAATGGTTTTTCAAACTTGAAGATTTCACCCTGTCGATGAGATTGTAGCTGAGAAACACCCTCTTGTTTGAAAAAACATAGATAATCTATAAGTATACAACATAAAAATGCTCCTTGAGACATATTATTATTACTTTGCCAAATTTTCAATTACTTAATTATTTATTGTTTTCAATGCTTGGGAGAAACATATAATTATTGTTTTTCCAAATTTTCAATTTGCTAAGTTTTGTTTGCAACTCTGTGAGGCAAAATTAACCAATGGCATTTTGCCACCTGTATGGGCCTTTTTTTGTTATGGTCTGTATTTATTACCAATATGGCATCCAAGTTTTAGTCTCAAGTGTACCTGATGAAGGTTATCACGGAAACATGTTTCAGGTGCACCAAAATTGGTCTCAGTTTTAGCAGATTTTAGACCACAAGATGGTCAATATGAGCAACATTAACATTTACAACCTGAAAGAACATGAAGAAGACATTTTAAGTTGAAAAACTTGTGTCTGACCTTTTTTTGATTGTTTTTGGACCATTAAATGTTTAAACTACAACCTAAACTTTTATTAGTATGAATGTGTAATGACCACTGTTTTTCTATTGCACAGACAGAAGATTCTTATGGCAGTTTGTTAGAATTATGCTGGAAAGGAACCAAACCTATAAAACTCGATAATGATATCACCAGGAAATTCTTACAGGACGGTGATGAAGTAATAATGACAGGTAAAATTGTATTTTAATATTTGCTGACATCAATAAAAGATTTGATGGTGGTAAATTGTTTTAAACAATATGCTTAAGCATGTGCAGCATCTGATTGTACCTAAAATGTTTTAAGGATGAAGTCCAGTAAATAAAAAAAAAATTTTAATTTAAAATTGATATTATAATTCAGAAGAGCATTAGTTAAGGAAAAAAATAAACTAAAAATATTGATAGGTTATGGAACTCCTTTTCGAGATTTTTTTTTTTAATTTTTAAAAGATGGTGGGAAAAGGCTGACTCAGACTTTTACCCTACATTTAGCATTGGCATTATTTGGGTCTCAAATCTTAAGAAAAGTAATCTACTATCTGCTGAAATTTTGGTAACTGACCTTTTATGAGCTATTGCAGTCTTTTATAAAAAGAAAAGTGGGTGTTTATAGGGCAAAATATTTTACCCTGTTTTGTAACAATAAACCCAAGGAGTCTGAACAGCTGACAAAAATTCCTAAACCTGACATGGCTACATTCTTAAATCTTTGGAAGTTTATTTTAATTGTTCCAAACCTGGAATAGTTCATTTGCTAATTGCCATTTTTTTAATCACCACTGTAGGACGAACTGTATCCCTGTCTATCTAATCAAGTTAAATGAGCATGGTGCATTGTGCGGGTTCTGACAATAATTTTTACATTGTTGAAGGCACATTTATTGTACAAATGGGATTTCTAAACATGTGATTACGTAATGAAAAAATCACACAGATTGTGTTCACCAAACCATGTTCTTGCCATAAGGTTTGTATAGGCAGGGATACAGTTTTTCCTTCTTTGTTGTTGTTTCCCTTTTGCAAAAAAAATAAAAAGAAAAAAGAAAACAAGGTCGATAATTAAAAATGAACTCTTGTTTTTCTAAAGTGTGAAGAATTTTTTATGTTAACTCATTAGAAGTTAGAGTTATTTCCCTTTTATTATTCTGATTCTAAACAGTTTGGTTGTATTATGTTTTTACATCTGTTACTTCAACAATACAGCATGAAAAATGTAGGCAATTTTATTAAATACTGGTTCCTTCAGGCATTTGTTTATATTTAATGATCTATGATGACTGTGACCATGGCTGAAAGTGTAAAGATTTATTTGAAAATTCTTACAAAACCATGAAGTTTTTTTTTCATTGCATAGCATCTTCTCCATCATTATTATTTTTTAACTATACACAAAAGTTATGAGTTATCTATCAATTGATTGTGTCTTTGATTTTCATTGACTGTGTGTGTAATTTTCATAGATTGTGTATTTGATTTTCGTTGGTTGTGTGTATGATTTTCATTGGGCGTGCTTATTTTTCATTGGTTGTGTGTTTCATTTGTCATTGGTTGTGTGTTTGATTGTCATTGGTTGTGTGTTTAATTGTCATTGGTTGTGTGTTTGATTTTCAATGGTTGTGTGTTTAGTTTTCATTGGTAGTGTGCTTGATTTTCATTGGTCGTGTGTTTGATTTTCATTGATAGTGTGTCTGATTTTCATAAATTAGGTATTTGATTTTCATAGGTTGTGTAATTGATTTTCAGTGGTTGTGTGTTTGATTTTTAGTGATAGTGTGTTTGTTTTGTTTTAGTATGATTTTCATTTTTTTTGTGTTTATGTTTTTCAGGTTATTGTGAGAAAGATGGATGCAGAGTTGGGTTTGGTACATGTACAGGGAAGATATTGCCAGCATTAGATCTCTCATAAACTCACTAGTCTTAATCTAAGCAGCATTTAATGTTATGATGAAGTGTATGAAGGGTTTAAATGTTATTGTTTTTAATGTTTAAGATATATAAATGTGAAGACAGGAACAAGAATTTAGAAATTGGTTCAGAACAGTGTAGACTAGCGTATATTCAAACTACTTTGGATTCATTATTCGTTGGATACCAATTTTCGTGGGTTTCGTGGATACAGGTGAACCACAAATTCAAATGTTCTACGAATTACAAATTTTCTGTATGCTTTTTATGCAGAGATTGGCAAAACCATGAAATCAAATATCCATGAAAATTTTCCTCAATCCATGAAAACTGATACCCACGAAAATAAATGAATCCACAGTATTATGAATTTTACTACACAATTATATTATTACAAGTTGGGAAGAGTGCTGGTGAAGATTCATACTGAGAGTTAAAGTGTCAGTCTTTGTAAGAATCTGGCAATTTAGAAAAATTTCAAAACCTGACCCAAAAAAACCCACCAACCTGACCATTCAATTTTGAAGTTACCTTCATCCTGAGTTAGAAATGGTAGGTCTTTCGTTTCTTCGTGTCTGGTAATTCGATAAATTTCTTGATAACATTGGGTTAGAATGACAGCAAATTACAGAGTTAGCTCCCCTCAATTGGTAATTTGTAGTGCATTTCAACCAAATTATATCGTAAATTACCAGAACTGGAAAAGGAAATGAACGTTTTATTCGTGCACCATTATACGTTTTGAACTTAAATTAATGTAAACTTGAGTGGGTTTTTATTTGTCATGTTTTCACCACTGCCTGATTCTTAGGCAGATTGGCACTTAATTTGTCTAGAAGCCAGTGCATAGTGTTGGCATGATTCAACTGATGAGTCAGTAACTTTACAATTCATCAAGGTATGTAATTGTAGTAAGCTTTCAGCTGTTCTGTTTTGGCCTTTTGAAACCTTTCCTTGTTATTTTATTGTTCCGATTTATTTTGACACTTCATTTCTTGTAAAAATATTGTAATATTAAGCAGTTGCAATAACTTTAGTCTGCACATTTATAATTGATCGACTTGTAATTTTACTAAGCTATGGTTGCAACTTCCTTAGGCAAAGATGACATTTGACTCTTTAAGGATGTTTGCTCCTCTTGTTTTTGAGTTTTTGCTAGATATTCGGAATCCTCTGGTTTTATCCATGTAGTGCCATTAAAAAATTTGCCCACTAACCCCTACTTTTCTCTCCATTATACATATAGTTTAAAATGTCATTTTTTAAAATCTTATAAAATCCTTGTTATTTTTTCATAGTTTTTGAAAGAAAAAAGGTGCAAATGTTAAATGTATGAAAAATCTAGAGAGAATTATTTCCCCGCCAAATTTTAAATGGCTCATATCTCGAAAACAAGCACACTAACCCTTCAATTTTTTCAGCTTATTTATTTCCTTTATTTATATACTTTCAATTTATAACAATCTTTTAAAAAACTTGTTATTTTGAAACAGAGTAGCAAACATCCTTAAGCTGTTCTTGGCCTGTTTAAACTTTCCCCTGTTTAGTTGTTGTTTTGAATCATCTTGACACTTCATTTTGTAATGTTAAGCAGTTGGAATAATTTTGGTCTGTAACTTGCACAGGCAAAGTTGAATTTTGACTCTAGTAGTAATGATTGAACATGATGCCAAACTGTTTTTTTTCAAAGAATTTTTAATGTTTATGAAATTTATGATCACGGGTAAACACCATTGCTAATTATTAACGAAAATTAATGCCTCATCAAACAATATTTTCAGATTGCTTTAAATAGTGATTTGCATCTCAGGCCATGTAGAATATATATTATATGCTATCGTAACGATAAATAAATCGTGCTCCTTGATTTCAAAATCAGTTGCCTTCCCAGATTTTTAAAAAGGGGGCCAAAAACTAGGCAACGTTAGGAGTAGAACATGTAAAACGTCTATGCTTTAAACAAATATATAGCTCTAAAGGGAGGGGATGGCCATGGCCTTGCGGTCATAAAATGTTCGAGCACCATTATCCTACTCAGACTCAGAAATCAACCAATCAAAATACTGGATTTGGTATTTCAAGCACATATTTTGTACTCCCGAGTACTGAGTAAAGTTTTATGACAGGGCCCTGATCTCCCCTAAATCTGCTTCTGCTTCCAAATCATATATATACATGTATATATTTTGCCTTCTGCAAGGAATATCTGTATCTTCTAATTATTTCACTTGTTTATAACATTGACATTCCTTTTATATTTAGAAAAATATATACAGAGAAAATGATATTGTATGCATTATTATTATGGGCTTTCATTTAAAAAGGTTTAGCTCATTGAAACTGATTAATTCAATTAATAATCACACAAGTGTTTTTTATACGACCGCAAAAATTAAAAATTTTTTGGTCGTATATTGGTATCACGTTGTCGTCGTCGTCGTCGTCGTCGTCAGCAACGTATGAAGACAGATGGTTTCCGGATAATAACATGAGTATAAGTATATAGAAATCAATAAAATTTTAACACAAGGTTTATAACCACTAAAGGAAGGTTGGGATTGATTTTGGGGGCTATGGTCCCAACTGTTTAGGAATTAGGGGCCAAAAAAGGGAACCAAATAAGCATTTTTTAGTAGTTTCCAGACAATAACTTGTGTTAAAGTGTATTAATATCTCTGAAATTATACCTCAAACTTCCATACAACAAAGGGATGGTTAGGATTGACTTTGGGGGGTTGTGGATCAAACCAATTAGTAATTAGGGGCAAAAAAAGGGGAAAAACAAGGGTTTTTCTGGTTAAAGGACAATTGAGACAATTTAAAAGCAGTGTAAGGGAGGTAATCCAATTTAAATTAAAGAACACTATTTGATTACCTCCCTTACACTGCTTGTAAATTATGTATTAAGAAATGATGATTGTCTTGAGGTGATTAGCTGTCAATTTATTTTTAGCAGTTCTTATTAATTAATATTAATTTTAGCCATGACTATGTATGTCATTTTATATTTTAAAACTTTTATGATGTATTTAAATGGGTAATTTTGGTTGCAAACTGCATTTGAAATTTGAATTGAGATACTGACCATATTTTGAGGGAAATAATTTTTTGGGGAATAAGGGAAAGGGGGGAGGTAAATGAATTGGAGGGGGGGGACAATTTTTCTCATTTCAGATTTCAGAAATTAAAAGAAAAGTTCTTCAAATAATTTTTTGGGGGTTAATATTCAACAGCATAGTGTATTGCACAAAAGCAAAAAACAGGGATAACATTTTTTTTTTTGGTAGGGGGGGGGTCAATCCCCAACAGCATAGTGTATTACACAAAAGCAATAAATTCAATATAAATTCAAATCATATAACCAATTTGAAGTTCTTTGACTACAGTTATTCTGTGTCAGAAACCTATTATGTGTCAAAAATTTAGTTACAATCCAAATTCAGACCTGTATCAAGTGTGAATATTGTGTCCATTTTGGCCCAACTTTTCAGGGTTGGACATCTGCGGTCGTATCCAGCTGCGCTCAGCGAAGCAGTTTATTTTAATTATAAATATTTTTTGGCATATATATGTTTAAGTGATATTAATTCATTATAATTTTCAATCATGAAAAATAATTAAACCACGGGTATTTTTTTAAAGTGAAATCCTAATTTTGATTTAACAGTAGATATATCAGATAAATATGGACAATCATGAAATGTCTTTCCAGCATGGTCATTACTTGTTTTCTTAAGACTAACCATATTTGATGACATTTTAAAAATAATGTAATGTGTACAGTATCCTCTTCAAAATAAATTTATACAGAATTGAAAATGCATACTGTAAGTACAGACATTTTTACCTGCATTTATTATTACACTTGTTTAGGTAACGACAAAAATGCTAGATTACGTATTGTGATTTCAAGAAATGTTTCATACAAAAAATGCTATCAGATTTTAAAAAGTGAGTATTTTTGGCAGATGTATCGAATCACAATTCCCACAATATTTAAAACATCACAAAAAAATCTGAATTTACAGTTCTATATAATTCTTGAAAAAGAAATTTACTTTAGGAAATGATCCCACATTTCAAAAATTTATTGTATGGGAAATACATGATTTTATTTGAATTACCTATGAGTACAAACTGTATGATTATTTTAAAAATCTCAGAAAAGTATGTATGAACACTGTTGTTAATGATATCTGTTACTTGTGAGAATGAATGTGAAATAAAAACTTCAAAGATACCAGGTTATGAATTAGTACACCAGATATGCAATTTAACTTGATAAGACTTATCAGTGGTGCTAGAATAAAAACAGTTAGCCAAATCAATTATGATATTGAAGAGCAATAAACAATAATATTAACATATTGTTGCCAGACTAGGTTTTGTTCCCCTAAAGATAGATTTAGAATCAAGTAATCAATATATTTGTGGTATAGTTTATTCTACATTGGCTAAGGGTATAGGGGAGGGTTGAGATCTCACAAAACATGTTTAACCCCACTGCATGTTTGCGCCTGTTCCAAGTCAGGAACCTCTGGCCTTTGTTAATCTTGTATGTTTTTTTTAATTTTGGTTCATTTCTATGTTTCGGGGTTTAGTGTGACGTCCATTTTCACTGAACTAGTACTCATCTTTTGATTAGGGGCCAGCTGAAGCCCGCCTCCTGGTGCGTATTTTCTAGTTGTGTTGAACACCCTTTGGTGGCCTTAGGGTGTTTTCTGCTCTTTGGTCGGGTCGTTATCTCTTTGACACATTCCCCCTTTCCGTTCTCAATTTTATAACTTGAAATATGCAATTCTATTCTTTTAGAGATACATTATGTGAGCAATACAAAACTAAGGCAGACAATTCCCTGTTTCCATTCTTTATTCTAAGTAATACAAAAATTGACCCTCAAAAGTCAGGAATATGGCAGTTGATATCAAATAGTTCGTTTATATGTATGTTGGCGTTTGTTTTTGTTGCACTTCAGTGTGCCTGTTGTTCCTTTGTTTTCCTCTTGTAGTTGTTGTGTTTCCTTCGGTTTTAGATTGTAACCCGGATTTGTTTTCTCTCAATCCATTTATGACTTTTGAACACCGGTATACTACTGTTGCCTTTATTTAACTACTGTAAATTCAGAAATTATTGAGTACATTTATTATTGTGCATTTTTTAGAATGGCTTAAAATGCGAGATTGATTATTGAAATTGCAGGCAAATCTGCATACAATTATATGTATCATATAAAAATGCGAGCTCTTATTATTGCGATACTTTTTCAGCCTCTTTAATCACATTAATAAAAAAAGTAAAAACATGCGACCTAAGTGCTTTTCTGGATTTACCTTCATCAGGAATACTCAAAGCCGAATATTTGGAAGCCAAAGATGTATAGGAACCGAAACAGTTGAAGAGCTAAAAACCAAGAAGGACCTAAAAAATAGCCAAATACATCTAAGGTCAACTTTGACTGAGGGAGTTAAAACCTTAGTTTCTAATAATTTTAAAATTTATCAACTGAAATACCTCGCAATAATTTCTGATTTTATAGTATCTTTTTCATGCTTTTTAACAAATTAACCGTTCAGCTTAAAGGTTAGTTGCTGTTAGTGTCATAAATGTGAATATGAATATAATCAGTATTTTTCTGTAGTATTGGTTTTCAATAGTATAAAATACAATTTCTTGTGTATCCATGACAACATGACAACAACAATCTGCATACATTTGCCTCAATATATACCAAATAGGCCCTAGTCTGTCTATAGTGATTAAGATTATAACACAATGTTGACTGCTGTACCCCTATTTTTGACACTTTTACCTATTATTAGGTCTTTCCACTTTTCTGTGGAAAGACCTATTGGATTTCTTCTGATTATTATTATTATTTTGTTCTTCTTCCGCCACTTTTTTCTGACGGTGCTTTTTTGTTTCGCAAGATGTCACTTAGATTTTTTGTGTATGATATCGAACAGTTATTGCGATTTTGGAACTGACCCTGTTTAGCGGAATACTTTTTATTGTAAGAGTTATCTCCCCAAATACTGTTTTTCTTGTGTACGCATCTCCTTCGCAACCGTAAAAGATTATGACAAATTTATGTCTCAAATTTGTTCCTTATATCCTCAGGATCTTAAGAATAATTTTGACCGAAGCGGTCCAGAAACTCCATATGAGAGTTATTTCCCCTTCTGTATTTAAAATAAGTAAAATGTAATTGTAATTGGTAAACCATAAGTGATAGGGACCTAGGGTCTTTTGATTTGAGATCCTTGGTCCAAAAAAAAGAAAATAGGGTCAAGGTCAAAAGTCAAGGTCATTTTTAAATTTGGATTTTGGCTTATTTTCACCTCTTTTCAAACACGATATAAGACATCACATCAACAACATATTTTTACTTAATTGTTAGTTGTGACATGTCGTAACACATACATATCGGTTTAAAGGGTACGCTTACATCAAATTAGAGTTTTCTCCCCTCTTTTATTTAAAAATATGCATATGGTGATATAACTCATGAACCAAATATAATTAAGTCCTAGGGTATTTTGATTTTAGGTCCTTGCTTGAAATTGAGCTCAAGGTCATAAGTTAAATTGACGTTCTAGATTTTGACCTTTGCTTTTACCTCACATGTATACATGATAAATCCATGGGTCTTTTTGCATTAGTCTTTAAAGCCATTTTACCTTAGAAAAGCCAACCGGAAGTGACCTTGTGTAAACCAGAAGTAGCTCTTTTTTGTACTTAATTAATGTAAAAGTTTATAGAACCAGATATTTTTGGTATCAGTGTCAATTAAACTTTTGAATAATACCGGAAGTAACATTTTTCAAACCGGAAGTAACAAATTATCTCCCTTATTTAACAAATATTGTATAGAAACCATATATTTTTGGAATCTGCGTACAATAAGCTATGATTTGAAGCTGGAAATGACATTTTAAAACGAATTTTACTATTTTCATATTAAAATACATGTTTTTTTGTGGAAAGACCTTCAATTGTTCTCTGAAAAATTGGTTTTTAATTTCTGTTTGTTTTGTTCACACATTGGAATTTTATGCGACTGTCATACAAGTGAGAGGTTTTAGCTAGCTATAAAATCAGGTTTTATCTACCATTTTCAACATAAGAAAATGCATGTACCAAATCAGGAATATGACAGTTGTTATCCATTCGTTTGATGTCTTTAAATTTTTGATTTTTCCATTTCAATATGGACTTTCCGTTTTGAATTTTCCTCGGAGTTCGGTATTGTTGATATTTTACTTTTTCGAAATAACCTAAAAAATGAACCTTGAAGTTCACGCATGGATCTATGTTACTCAAATTGAACAAATATCGAAATAATTTTTGAATATGGCCTTTCTGTGCTTTTTATATTGGAAATTGGACACTAGACGTTAAGCAACCATCAATCGATCAATGGAAGATGGTACATTCTAGTTTTTCAAGAACAGTTTAGGATTTAGTACAAACAACGATCATGTCAATGAATATGAGAGCTCAGCGATAGACCCTTTGGGCCAACAGAAACTTATGGCTATTTTGAAACTAGTTTCAAAACATTTTTTTTCGAAATCTAAATTATTTCCTTAAATCATGTTAATAAATACCAGAAGTTCATTACCTTGCCCCTAGTAATGGACTTCTGCCAATACTCATTTATATATATATATATACCTCCAAGTAAAACTTAAAGTTTGTCATGTATATAAAATATCATACTACGTGAAATGTAAACATTGATGAAACATACAGCCGGTCAATAATTAATTTGAAAAAGGAAACGCGAATATCAAATGCGTTGTGGGAAATGATTGAAGTTGGTCTACGCTAAATAACAAATTGAATAAACCAAATAGGTGAGGATCTGGATGGTGATACTTTATTTCTGTATTCTTTAATGTTCAAGTAATTTTTCTCTTTTCTTTAACTTGTTGGCCCCTTCTTCTTTATTTTTAAGCACCCCAACATTCCCTATTCTTTATTTGTTTGCCCTATTTTTTTCTAGTCTTTATTTTTTGGTCCATTTGTTAGTAGACTTGGTCGATTATTCTCTATACTGTTAATCCCATCAAGTCTTTCATAAATCTGTT